GACCTGGCTTCCGGCTCCTGGGGACAGCTTGTGGGGCTGGGGCAGGGCTAGGCCAGGTCTCTTATCTCATCACCATTTCCCGGCCTCCCCTTTGCGCCACCTCCTGCCCAGCACTGCCCAGCACTGCTCAGCAGAGTGGATGTGGGCCATCACTGTAGAGTGGTGAGATGACAGATGACAACACAGCCCCAGAGACCTCCCTGTTCCGGGGCTCACCTTGAGGGGCGTGCCGCTGGCGGAGGTGTTGACCACCGGGATGAACGTGAGCGTGTAGGCGTCGGGGAAGACCTGCGGCCTGAAGCCCTGCAGGACGGAGTCCACCAGCAGGCGCACGCGGTCCTCCTCGTGGTGGCTGCAGCGGATGCCCCGCACGAGCCCGCTGTCCTCCACGCCCACCAACAGGCTGCCGCCCTGGCTGTTGAGGAAGGCGCACACGTAGCGCCGCAGGTGGTGCTTGAAGGCCAGGCTCAGGTACTCGCCGCCGCCCCGCTTAAACTCCATGATGCGTGTCTCGTTGCCCAGGAAGGCGCCCTGGAAAAGCCGCTCCTGGCCCTGGATCTCCTGGTGCACGATGGCGCTGTCCGAGCGTGTGCAGTTGGGTTGGTGCATGGAGCTAGGCCACTCCAGAGCCTGGACTGGTGGGGCGTTGGTGTGCTTGGCAGGTGGGCGGCTGGGGCCTGGGCTGGGGCCAGGGCTGGGGCCAGGACTTGGGCCTCTGTTCTCCTCCTGCTGGTTTGGAGCAAGAGTCCCTGAGCAGGGCAGCAAACAGGGATAGGCTTCCAGAACTCCTACCTCCCACCACCCTGGGGCCCAGCCCGCTGAGGAATCCCCGTGTTCCCTCCCAGGCAGAGTGAAAGGCTACTAGATCAAGGGTTGGAGCCAGCCATTGGTTCTTCCCGGCTGGACTTCTCTCTTTCCAGGTGGACTGTGAAATGCATGGCGGGTAAGAGCTCTCCTTCCCAGGAAGCTGTGACGCCTCTGGCTCAATCTCTTCCCATTTGGTTGGGACAGATCTCTGAGGCCCAGGCCTGGGTCACCAGGAGATACCTAAGGTCCCATGTGACAGCTTCAGGTCTCTGAACTGAGAGGGGCCCCTGAGACTCCACCCCCTTCCTGATCTTCCTGAAACCCTTGCTGATCACTTTCTGGACCACTGGCCAGCCCTCCTGAACTTCAGCTTTCCTCAGGCCCTCCCAAGGCCCTTTCCATCATTTCTGCTCTGTCCAGGGGCTCTGGGCATGAGCCTATGGCCACTCCCCCTAGCGGCCCCTCCCTGGACTCCCTGCCTGCTGGGCTCTGGAAGAGGCCACCAGCCCTGGGAGCTCAGTGTGGGCAGAGGCATGGCAAGGAGGGCCATGTTCCTCTCTGCCCTGCAGTGCTCAGAAAAGACAGGAGTATAAAAATGTGAGAAACTGTCATACAAACATGAAATCAGGCTCACTGATCTTGAAGTGCAAGTCACAGAGCTGTGTAGTTCTGCAGCAGTTTAAACACTGAGGCATTTTCACCCCAAAAGGAGAGAGAAACCACATCACCTGTCTCATGGAGTGACCTGCACGGCCTCAGTGAGGCGACTGTTCCCTCAGGTTCCCAGTGGAAGCCAACCTTTCAGTCCCACTGACTGGGTCTCTCCACTCCTGCTCTTTCTTCCTTTGTTCTTTCTGCAGCCTGCAGCTTGAGCTCCAGGGACACCACTTGGCCTGCCTGCTGCATGTAACATTCCCCTCCCCACCTGTTCCTCTGTATGGGCCGTGTTCCTCTGCCCGGAATGCCAGCCCCACTCCCTAAGTCCCAGCCCGGCTTTCACTCCCCCTGCTAGTTTGTTCCCAGCAGCTCCGGGAGGCCTCCAGGCAGCTTTGTCGGCCATGTCTGGCTCTGCTTATAGATACAGGGCTCCTTGAGGGCAGGGCTGAGCCCTGGCTCCCTACTTTACAGTCTGGCATAGAGCGGCTGCTGGTGTTTGTCAGCTGAATGAGGTGGTCCAGGGAGGAAATGAGGACCTTTGGGACCTGAGGCTGGGGTGCAAAGGACCCAGGGAGGAATCCCATATATCTGCCTTTCTACACATGCTTCCGGCTGGAGGCTAAGTGTCCCTCCGCTGAAGGCTATTTTTTTGGGGGTGGGGGTAGTAGTCCCCAAGTTTGCAGATCTGTCCCCAGTTTCTCAAAGATGCCCATCCACCGATGGATGGCAGTGCAGGCAGTCCATACCCGGACCCCTGGGTGAGGCTCGGGGCTTGCAGGCTGGTGGCTCCGAGAATGTCTCACTTACCTCCCTGTGGTGTGTGGGCTCACGGCCGTCCCCCAATACCAGCTCCTTCCCGCGGGCTGCCAGCTCCTGGATGATCTGGTGCTCCTCCAAGGCTGCCTGCAGGCGGCCACGGAGGGAGGCCAGGATGTCCTCAGAGGTGGCCACCTGCACCAGGGCGTAGGCCTTCCGCTGCCGCCTCACCACTTCAATGTGCTCCCGCGCCACCGGCAGCTCCAGCCGCTCCAGGGTGTCTCGGAGCAGGCAGGTGAGCACCGGCACTGAGAACTGGGGGTTCAGGTGGCCCACGTAGAGGATATGCGTGCTGGGAGCCCCCTCCAGGCCTGAGTCCTCAGGCGGGGACTCTTCTGTGAGGAGCTCCTGCAGGGACTGCTTGCCTGGGGGCTCCATGAGGGGCTCCTGCACCTGTTTGTGCTGATCTCTTCCTGGGGGCCCCTGGAGGGGTCTCCCTCAGAAGGGCTTCCGGGATTCCTTCCTGCAGGCTGCTCTTCCCAGGGCCCTGGGCTCTCAGCGTGGCCCAGGCCCTCCAGGGGACCACAGGGGTGCCAAAGCTCCTGGGAGGTTCACAGATGGGCAGGGGCTGGGAAGGGCCAGAATGAGAGGGAGGGCAGAGGGCTAGCAGGAAGGGGCCTGCCAGCCACCCCGGGCCTGGGACAGGAAAGAGGAGTCAGACAGGGCTGAGTCGGAGAACAGAGCATGAGAGCCTGCCCCTCCAGTCCAGAGAGAAGACAGGAGATATGCCCAAAGAGGGACAGAGGGGACTAGGACTCCGAGGCCTGACTGTGGCCCCACTGCTATTTCTGCTTGCCTAGTCTGAACCTGGTGTGCGTCCAGAATGGTTCTGAAACGGGCAGGACTCGGTCAGAGGGCTGTAGAGCAGGTTTTATGCTTTGGCACGCTGATGAAAGCCATGGCCTCTCCCCAGAAGAATGGGCTTTGCAGATATAACTTGCGGAGCCTCGTGGACCCTTCCTAAGAACTAGCTTAGACTGAGTCCTCCTTTTGGTTCAGAGAGCATAAGTGAGGAGGGGCAGAGTGAGGGGCAGAGCTGGGGCCCTATCCTCCGCCCCCCTCCAGCCTCCCACCAGGTCAGAGACCTTGATCCCGAGCTGTGCCCTCCACACCAGCCCTCCACTTACCCACCCACACCCAGCTTCTGGTCGGTGTGGCAGGTACCAGCAGCCTGCATCTTTTCAGATTGGATCCTTGAAGTTGTCAGGGCCTGGGGGCCACCAAAGCTGGGGTGGGGGCATTCAGGACCAACAGGAATAGAAGGACAAGAGAGGCCTATGACCCTCATGTCCTTGCTCTTCCTGGGAGGTAGTGGCCTGAGCTCCCACAGCTCCCTGATCCCTGGCCAGCGGCTCCCTAGGGCACTTGGGAGCTTGGTGTGGGGTGGCAGCAAGAACCAAGGCTGCAGGAAGTGGGCGGGGCCTGTGCAACTACACCTCTGTGAGCTCATGAGAGCCAATAATGCCTTGTTGGCCAGCCTCAGGCACTGAGCAGCGAGGGTGGGAAATCCCTCAGTAGGATGCTTCCCCCACCTCCACCCCTACCCTCTCTGTGAACATACACCAGCTTGGCCCCAGGGCTCCCTTGGGATAGCTCCCAGAACCCTGGGGCTGAAGGTGTCCTCACTTCCTCTGTAATGTTTCTCTAGGCCTAGTGCCATGCAGGCCTCCTAGTGCCCCCCAAGACTCCCTTCAGTCATCAACCCCAAGATCCAACTGGGCTCAGCTACCTCCAGGGTGGGTCAGAGTGCACACAGTTGGGTCCAGGGCTCCCTGACACCAGACCCTTCTCTATGCCCGAGGTAAGGAGAGTCCTGAACAATAGGCCAAGGCTGGTATGGAGAGCACCCGGGATGAGCAGCACAGCCTACCGGACCCAATGTCCAGGAGTCTGTGGAAAACGGCCTGCTCTGGCTTGGCAGCACTGACCCTCTGCTGCTTTGTGGAGACCACGGTTAGAAGCCCACAGTGGCCACGTAGAAGGGCATTCTAAGTTCATCAGGATGTCAGAACCAGTCACTGCCAAGAGCTGGCAAGTATGCCCTTGCCCTCAGAAGTCTCCCTACCCACTCTCCCCCACCCCTCTCCGTCCCATCCTCTGGCACATGGGCTCAGAGAAAGGAAATGACTGACCCAGAGTGCGACAGCGAAGGGCTGGACTGGCGGGAACCTCAGCCGTGGCCCTGAAGTCCGGTTACTTGGCTTCAAATGTCTACTCTAACACTTCCTGGCTGTGATCTGAGCTTCTCTTCCCTCATCTACAAAAGGGGTTTGTTGTGAGGTTAAATGAGCTCATTCTAACTCATGCAGAGCAGTGTGGCCCACAGTGACACTCTCAGGTTGTACTGAACTATGCTGCTTCCCCTACACCACCTCTGCCATCCGCGAGAAACGGGTGTGTGGCCCTGGCCTGGGGCACCTGCCCCTGGCCCAGTCAGTGTGCACTCTCCTTGCTGAGGATGTGGATGAGCCCAGCCACAGAGGCTCCTTGGAGCTGCTGTTCTCCCAGCTCAGGCTCGAGGAGCTGCTGCGCGCACCGCTGTCCTGCTGGCATGCAGTGCTGGGCCTCAGGGGGCATCTGGCTAATTTCCTGTTCGTTAAGCATTTGCTGGAATTAGAAGAACTCAGAGATCATCTTGTCCAAGCTCCTAAGACCATGAGGAAGGACTGACCTGCCCACTGGAAACAGTGATTTGGCTGTTGATTAAAAAGACACTGGCATCTATATTGCTTTTTATTTATAAACAAGTCAACATAAAATAAGTCCAGATGGCAGCAGGGCAGCTGTGCTGACCGGTTGCGAAGGAAGCGTGTGGACAGCGGAGTGGGTGCCGCCAGACTCCAGCCTGGAGACCCTTTCCTCCTACCACCCTAGGGGCTTCTCGGCCTAAAATCATTGGCCCGACCTTCTGTGGGAGCAGTTCTGGCCAGGGCAAGGAGCTGTGCTGGGTCAGTGTGGGCAGGGACTCCCACCCCCATGGGTGAGGCTGGGCGAAGGGCCCAGAAAGATAGAGAGGGGAAGCTGACAGGGATCCTCTCCTCCCAACACTGAGTGATGTGGTCAAGGCTTTATGGGTCTGTCTGTCCCAAAGAGAAAGTCCCTGAGGGAATGTCCTCTGTGAAGGGGCCACACCTCTCTGGGACCCGGGCAGGGTAGTCTTGCTCCTCCTGAAACCCCATGTTTGGAGTGAGGAGTAGGAACTGAAGGGCTTGCCCAAGTGCCAGAAACAATAAATAACAATACAAAATGATATATTTTTTTTAAAAAAGGTAGAGGTTTGCACCATGAGTTTGGAATCTGGGTATTTTGTAGAAGGCAGGAAATGTGGGGCAGTGGGTGCCACACCAGGCCCAGCAGGTGGTAAGGGACTGGGCACGAGTGTCAGTTCAGGGCCCCATCTTCTGAGGCCTCAGGGGTCTACCCCTTGCCATCACATGGCAGGTGGTCAGTCTAAACTTCTGAGGCCGGCCGGACCTGGGAAATAAATAGAGGGGCCTCAGAACAGAGGCAGGCCTGAGGGGAAGAGCAGCGTCAGCCCTGGGCCCAACACTCCCCTCCTCAGCCCTTCACGGAAGGACATGGAGGGCAGCAGTGGGGGCTCCGCAAGCCTCCTGCAATCCTGAGGTGCGCCAAGTGCCACCAACCGCCGGGAGCCGGCTGCTGGCCGGAGAATGCTGCCCTGTCTGCTCCACCCCTCAGCTGTCGGCCGCGTCCTCTGCTCAGAACTTGCCCTGCTTCAGCCGGTCAATGTGGTAGGAGAGCTTGAGCGCGGGCCCCAGCTTCAGCCCCATGTACTTCATCATCACGTCGCTGCGCAGCAGGAGCAGGGCCTTGCCGTCGATCTCCTGTGGGCGTGGGAGAGGCGCCATCAGAGGCCTGGCTGCTCTGACCACCCCAGGGAAGTACAGCCACATGGGGTCCAGTGGACCTGCTGTGACGCTGAAGCCTCCCTGGTCTCCCACTTTTTGTCTCCAACAGCCCTCCTCGCGAACAGCTACTACTGAGCCCACCCGCTGAGCTCTTCACATGTTTGCACCCGTTTCCTTTCTGTGCTGAACCCTCCCAGACCTGAGTCCAGCTCAGTTCCATCTCCTCTAGGAAGCCTCCCCAGTCAGTGTACGTGTCACTTTTCACGGCTGTATATGACCCTGTTATTCTGAGTCCTCCTCCTTCCTAAGTGGCAGGGACCATCTGTGTGAGCTAGACACAGAGCAGGCACCTACCGGGCAGCTTTGAGCTAAGAGCGCCCTCCAAACCACCTGGCATGGAAGTTTACATGACCAATGAAGGGAGCAATTCTGTTCTGAGTGCCCACAGGGGAGGACTGCACCAAGCAGCAGGGGCTCCGGGGAAATGGTCTTGTGCCTCAAATCAGAAGAATTAGGAGTAGTCCCTGGCCACAGGGCCATTGGCCACTGGAAGAGATGTGTGAGAGGCTAGGAGAAGATGAGGGCCTGATGCAGGTGAGAGCATGGGGCCACTTGGCAGGGACTCTTTAACGTGGGCTGAGGCCCCTGATTCCCAGGCCCAAGGCTGGTAGGTGAGAGAGCAGCGTGTCTTATATACCTAGGAAGAGGAAGGCCTGTCCCTGCTGCAGAGCCCACAGGGCGCACAGCCAGCAAGAATGTGGCTGCATCAGATCTCACACCAGCGGAGTAGGCTGAACTCAGTGCCCACTGAGGGTTGACCGAGACCCAAGATTTTGTCCCTAAGTCTGTGTGGTCTCCTGAGCTGTATCAAGGGACCTGGAACAAATGTATAGTCCGTGCCCTTAGGAGTCTAAAGGCTACGGAAGCAATTCTCCCAGTGAACCCGACGGAGATCAGGCAGGGGCACCTACGTGTTTACGAAAAAGGTCGGCGTGGGGCCCAAGCTGAGGATCAGCTTCCCGAACAAACTGCATCACATCCTCGACTGTCCATGAGGATGGGTCCCGGGCACTCATTCGAGAGGCATCCCGGCTTTCCAGGTATCGGTCTGATCCTGCAGGACAGAGGGACAGCTGGCATCATGGGTGGGAACTGGTTTGAAATCCCCACCACTCTCCAGGGTGTGTCCTAAAAGGCCCTATGGGTGAGCTAACAGCAGAGGGACCAGTGGCAGCAGCGGGAGGGAGGGAGGGTTTCCACAAAGGGTCTTCGTAAGTTAAATCTTTGTTCTTTAAGGGTAGATCTGATTTTGAAAATCAAAGGAATTTTACACTGAGGCTATGACTCATCCTGGACTAGAGTCAGGGTAAGATGAGGTAATGGGCTTACTTAGTTCGGTGTGGGGCTGGTGGGTAAAACTGCTTTTGCTGTGGTTCTGGTGACCATTACTGGAGAGACCTTGGGAACTGGGCAAGAGCAGAACACAATTCTTGGGGTCTAGGGGGAAAAAAGTGGAGGATAAAACCCTGGCGAAGAGCTGACCTCACTCTAGCTGATGTACAGAGACAGAAAGTTTTGCTTTGGCTTCCAGAAGCCTCAGCATTACTTTAGTGCTCTGCTTAGAGCAGTGTTTTTCAACCTTTTTTGGGCAAAGGCACACTTGTTTCATGAAAAAAATCACGAGGCACACCACCATTAGAAAATGTTAAAAAATTTAACTCTGTGCCTATATTGACTATATATAAAGTAATTCTCTTGAATAGGAATCAAATAAACACAAAGAAAGTATTTTATAATTACTTTATTATGAAATATTAAGTAAACAAAATAGTGAAAAATTATAAAATTCTTGTCTTGTCTGCACCTACGGCACACCAGGCAACATGTGCCGCGGAATAGCGGTTGAAAAACGCTGGCTTAGAGCCTATATCTCAATCGTCACTTTCCTGTGGGAGTTGGGATTTCTATTTTGATCATCACCTGCCACAGATCTCTGGTTCCTCGCATCCCTCTTCCTAGAATGTGTCTCTCATCTCCCTTCAATTTCTTTTCTTTGGCAAATCCCAACTTAGCAAGCAAGAGATGACGTCAAGGACCAGCTCCTCTATGAAACTTTTCCATGGAAATAATTGGCCTCACAAAGCATTTTATGTACCCCTGGTTACAGCTTAACCTCTACACACTTCTCCTATCACATTACCTAATAATCTATTATCGAGAAAGCAGTCAAAGCAGCCTTAAAAGGAACTGGATGGTGTCAGTCCCTAAAAACTCCATGCATTGGCCTCCCATCACACCTAACAGGACATCTCAACTCCTTGGCCTTGCAGTTGCCCCATCACTTGGCCCTTCCTCCTTCTGACCTCACGTCCCAGGCTCCGCGCCACCTTTCCCTCACAATAATCCAGACAAGCCAGTTTTCTTGCTGCTACTTGAACAGGCTATGCTGTTATTCTTCGCCTGTAATTTCCTTTGTCTGGCATGCTCTATTTCCAGATCTTTGTATACTCAATTCCTTCTCAACATTTGGGTCTCATCTCAAATACCAATTCCTCAGAGTGGCTTTCCCTGATCTACTAGTAAAAGTACTTCATTCCCCATTGTCACTTGTTGGAAGCTGCCCATAGTCTTCACTAGCAGAGAGGTGTTGACAAGGAATCTGGAAGGTTGAAGAGTTGAGCTCGGAAAGGTCAGAACCACGCACCCACTGTTTAGTGGAGACACTGGTAGCTGAAGCAACTTCCACCTTTTAGTTTTATGTAAATCCTTGCTGATTGGCTATCATTGGAATTGCCTGCCTAAGGGCTATGGGTGTATCCCAAAACCTGAATAAAAGGAATAGCAAGGCCAGAGCAAAGCCTAGTCCTTTCTCTTGAGCTGGGCTCCTGCCTGGCCCCCAATTCCCAAATTTACATTTTCTAGTCTAGTCTCTTTCATTTGTGTGCTGTCTCCTCCAGAACCCAAACTTGAACCTGAACCCTGAACCACATGGGACATGGGGGTGGGGGACACTCAAAGTCACTCTCAACCCCACTACTCTATAGTTTTTGTTTTTTCTTTCCAGCACATATGACTACCTAAAATAATTTTATGCATCTAGGTCTTCTATTTCCCCCCCTGCTATGTCCTTATGATATTGTGATTTCTAATATGAAACATACATATTTGGTCTTAATTCTCATTTACGGCACAGAACTCTTAAAATCCTTTAAATTTCCCAAGTGGTGAGATAAAGAAAGGTTATTTAGAATGAGCCCTTTTTATTATGAGTACCGTATTTTCCGGTGTATAAGACAACTCCCTAATTTTACAGTTAAAACATAGGTTTAGGCATATACTTGCTGTATAAGACTACCCCCCACTTCAAAGAAAAGACTTACTTTTCCATCAAGATCTGCAGGTAATTTTTGTGCAATTTTGGTCTTTTGCTGCCGATTTTCGGTTGACTTTTTTTCGTTTCAAAGGTCGTCTTATACGCCGGAAAATACGGTATATCAATGAGGTGATTATTGGAAAGACCCTAAAGATGGGAGTTGGTTGCCAGAAGAACAAACTAGATGGCTAGAGAGTTGAACTTTCCTCCAAACTCCTGAGGAAGGGAGAGGCTGGAGATTGAGCTCAATCATAACGGCCAATGATTTAACCAGTCATGCCTCTGCGATGAAGCTTGGGGCTGGGCACTATGCAGACCAGGGGAGAAGTGTGCTGGATTAGAGCCACAGAAATTCCGTTGGCTTTTTAGAGGTGGTAGTAACAGGAAGTTGGAAAGAACTCTCTATACCAAGCCACTTCTCCCTGCCCTGAAAGTCCCCTGTGATGCTAAGACAGAATCCAACTCAGAGATTATGGAGAGCAGAACAAAGATATACAATGGAGTGTCCTTTTTGGGTCATCTTAGCTAATTCCTCTACCCAAGAGAAGCTAGAAATCATACACATACACACACACACAGAGTATTATTTAGATATACATATCCTATCTAATAAAAGAATAATATGCAAATTGACCATACCTCTGCTATAACCACAAGCCATGCCCACCAGCCAATCAGGAGCAAGTATGCAAATTAACCCACCCAAGATGGCTGTGGCCAGAGAGAGAGCAGGAGGCTTGGGTTTCCCTGGCAATGAAGGAAGCCAAACTTTTCACTTGCCTGGCCTGCCTTGGCCTCCACTTCAGGCTACAAAGTTTCAATTATATAAGATAAATAAATCCCAACAAAAATGGCTGTAGCTATGGAGCAAGCAGGAGACTTTGCTCCACTCAAGGCTACAAAGTTTCAATTTTGGAAGATAAATAAATCCCAGATACCAGGGCCTCTGCTTGGGTTGCCTGGGGGCGTGGCCAGCCTGCAAACCACCACAGGCCCCTCACCCAGGCTGCCCCATGCCCCAAGGGAACCCCCACCCTGATCCAGGACACCTTTCAGGGCAAACCAGCTGGCCCCCAGCCATGCACAAGCCTCTATCGTATCTAATAAAAGAATAATATGCAAATTGCCATCATTCCAACACACAAGATGGCTGCCCCCATGTGGACACAAGATGGCCACCACAATTTGCCCAGCAGGGGAGGGCAATTGAGAGGGACCAGGTCTGCAAGGGAGGGCAGTTGTGGGCAATCAGGCCTGCAGGGGAAAGGCAGTTAGGGGTGACCAGGCCTGCAGGGGAGGGCAGTTAGGGGCAAACAGGCTGGCAGGGGAGCAGTTAGGTATCAATCAGGCTGGCAGGGGAGTGGTTAGGGGGTGACTGGATCAGGCCTAAACGGACAGTCAGACATCCTTCGAGGAGTCGCAGATTGGAGAGGGTACAGGTTGGGCTGAGGGACACACACCCCCATGCACAAATTTCATGCACTGGGCCTCTAGTATATATTATAAACATATATATTCACATATATAATACTATTATATATTATGTGTTTGTTAGTCTATTCCTATTAGAATGTACACTCTTCGGAGATGAAGACATTTGAGCAAAGACCTTTAGGCAGAGAGTGATGAGCATATTTAGAGTTGAGCAGGGAGACAATGTGCCAGAGCAGAGTGAATGAGGAAAAGTGGCAGGAATAACATCTCAGAGGCGTGTATGTGTGTGCTGGGCAAGGAAGTGGTGGTGAGGTAACAGAAGACCTTGTAAGCCACTGTAAGACCAGAGGCTTTTCTGAGTGACATGAATTGAGTTTGAGCACAGGAGTCTGTGTTCATAATAGGTGTTAGGGGGCAGGGACAAGTGAAGGAGACAAGTTGTAAAGGAGTCTCCTACAATAGTCCAGATAAGAGATGACTGTGGCATGCATCAGGCGGTAGTGGTGAGCGGTGAAGAGAGGTCTGATATATGAACATTATAAAGAATTCCCGCTAACATCCACTCATTTAACCCTAAAAATAGCTCATGAAGGAATTATCATCTTCAGTTTAGAGATGAGAGAAGTGAAGCTTAGAGAAGGGAAGGGACTTGCCCAAGACCACACAGGCAGGAAGGAGATGAGTTATGGCCTGTATCTTTTCCTATTCCCAATTTTTCAGACAAACTATATCAAAGTTCTCCACCCAATGGGTATAGCTGATGAAGGGAGAGGGTCTCAATCTGAGAATGACTAAGGCAGGTGAGGCACCTCCACAGAGGCGAGACCAACAAACAGATGCCCAATCATCCTGGATGATGAAATAAGAGGGGATAGACTTGACATCCATTAAATTCTATGAGAGAAACAATTTTAGGGTCAACTGAATAGAATCCTTTCATAGTCTTATTGGGTTCTTCAGGATCAGAAAATGTATAGACCGTGACCTGGTCAACAGACTCAATGTATTCCAAAGGAAGAGTAAAAATGCCTGGGGACAACAGTGACACCTGAGGCCAGATCCACATGAGGCACTCCTATCGGAAACAGGCCTTGGAGAAGATCACAGTAAAGTAATGCCTTCCTACCTGGGGAATGAGTTAGTTTCCAAAACGATCCCATATCCCTGCTTCCATCAGATCCTTTTAACACTCCTGTGGAAAGACCAGGTGGATGTCACCATCTTAATTTTGCATATGAGGAACATGAAGATGTGGGAGGTCAGATGACTTACCCAAATCTCAAGGTAGGGGATCAATTCTCAAATCTACCTCTACTTCAGAGCTTCTCATGCTCTACTTTGCTGCCTCACGGGGGGGAGGGCATCCCAGGCTTCTTCCTGTCAGCCTTCCCGAAAACTCTCTCCTGAGGTCACCTCTTTCCATTGCAGGCCTTGCTAATGGAGTCTCCTTATTCTTTTATAGCCCACACATTCCTGGGCTGTGAAAGAATAAGGCCTTTTGTGGGAAACACCAAAGGCCCAGAGTGGGGTGTGAAAGTGGATCTCCTATATTCCCATTGCTACTTTTAGACAATCCTCCTCTGAAAGCTCATGTTCTTCAGAGGCCATACTGTTGTCTATAAATCTCAGTGTTTCTACCCCTTGTTAAATGAAGGCTTTTTGGTATTTAGCTGCCTTCTACTCCACCCCAATTCCTGCCATAATTTTCAGAGGCAAACGGCAATCTATTTAACTTCCTTGCCTCTCTGCCAATGACTTTCACATCTACTCTACTTCAAATACTGATTGCCAAATTCACTGTCTGGTTTTTGCCATCACCTGGAACAATTTTAAACATCACTTCAGAATTTTAAACATGCCATTTTCTGACTTCCACCCTATCTTCCCAACTGTCTTGTGACTTATGTCCATTATAACCTTGACATAACAAGATTATCAACACATCAATCTTAGAGTTCCCCATCCTTCAGCCTCCTCTTAGCCTTGCTCCTTCCCCACCCTGTCCAGATCCAGTGTTGATCTAAACTCCTCTCCCTCAAGCTCCTCGATTCCTTTAAATGCTTCCTTACTTCCTGAACCCTCTTGTCCTACTAGCTCGACAAAAAATGAAACCTTAATTTCAAACTCTTTTCTTACCCCTCATCTAGGTTTCTAAGAACCACAGAAGAAAACTATGGCTCTTGCAAACTCCCAAAGTAGTCTGTAAGCACAGCTGGACCTTGGTGTTTCCCAAAAACAATTTCCTCTCCTTCACCCAATTCCCCCTGTTCTTCTTTAGGACCAGTTCTATCTTTCAGACTCCTAAACCTTCCTTACTCAGCCCCTCTCCATTTACTCATGGCCACAATCTTCCCCCCAATGTCAGAGAACAAGGTGTGCCTCCTTCTGGTTTAAGAGTTATCTGCCTGTGCCCTTTATCCCTAATCCTTTCTATAACTCTTCAGGCCTTACTTTTTACTCTTTCCAATATTCTTAATTTCTTCTCCTTAGAAGGCTCAAGTTGTCTACTGATAAGCATGCTCAGTGTGCTTCCACTCCAGAAGACCTTCTTTGGAAGGTCATCATCTTTCTTTTTCTCAATAAACTCTCCTTGATATTCCTACCACTTCCATCTGCCCTCACTAACCTTCACCAACATGGAAGCTACAAATCCAGTAATTATTTCTCCATCCTTATTTTACTGACCCTTTGCTGTGTTCTCCTTAAAACATTCCCTATTGCCCTGGCTGCCACAATATTAAAGTTTTCTGTTTTTCCTCACATTTGACTACTCCTTTGTCTCCTAGGTGGGATCTTCTCCCTGTTCCTATCTCCTATACTTTGTTGGTCCCCAGGACTCCATCATAGTTAATGGTTTTCATTCTATACATACTTCTGGGAAATGGATGCCATTCACCCTACAGCTTCAACTACCACCTATGTGTTGATGACTCCCAAATATTTAACTACAGCGCAGCCCTCTTCCCTGAGAACCAGATCTGAATAGCCACCACCTCTAAATATCACCTAGATGATCCATGGGCTCCCCGCCCTTCGTTCTCTTCTAGGCACCACCATTTATCCAGCCACCTCATCTCAAAACCTGGAAGACATTCCCACTCCCTTCTTCCTCACCATCCTCAAATTTGACTAAATTTACCTGGTGAATAGTTTCAAACCCAGTCTCTCTTCTACAAACCTTCTACCACTGCCCTAATCTAGGTCTTTATCACTTCTGGTCTGGCTCATGCTCATAACCTTATAACTGGTCTCTCTAGTCTTGTCACTCCTCTAATCCATTCTCAATGTAGTAGTTAATGATCTACTGAAAACAAACTTTTTTAGGTCTTACCTCTAATTAAAAGCCTTCGATAACTTCACATTGCCTATAAGATCAACTCCAAACTCTTTAATGTGGCATTTAAGGTCCTCTGTGGTATAAGCCTGACCTTTCCAGGCTTTTCTCTTTGAAGTCCCAGTATTTTCCTTTGACTCAGCAACACCAAACAGCAGTGGTTCCTGGCACACTGTATTAGCTCTTTCCCTTTGCCCTTGTTCATGCTGTGCTCTCATGGAAAGCTCTCCCACCCCTACCACTCCTGACAGGGCCATTCATACAGTCACCCTTCAAGTCTCAGGAAGGGCATCACTTCCTCAAGGAAGCTTCCCCTAGGTGTTCCTTCTTGCAGTTTTTATACGAATAGAGAATATCTCTGCAACTGCACTAAGATTCGTGCAGTTGCAGAGATGTTGTTTTACAATTGCCTATTAAGTATCTCTTCCACAATACTGTGAGTTCCTTGAGGACAAGAAGTGACCAATTTTTGCATCCCCATACCAATCAGTTTTCAAATAAGTGGCCATCGAAGAAATGAATGAATTCTTCCTTGTCCCTTTGGACCTATAAATAATGGTAATAATAGTTACCATTATTCTCAAGCCAATCCCAGAACTTCAGTCGCCTCCCCAGGCACAATGGTAAGCCCAGACCCTAGCCCAACCACCAGACAGAGTGAAACAAAGCCAAGTCCTTTCTAGCCTCCCAGAGCTCAGGAAGAAGAAAGGAAGGAAAGAATGAAGGAAGTAAGGAAAGAATGAGGGAAGGCAGGAGGGCCCGAACTCTGGTAAACTTACCCCTCGCGCACAGTCTACGCATAGCTGAGGCAGCACTCAGTGAGAGGCCACAGGATGGAAGCAAAGGCCGGTACCCAGAGGTTCGAAGATTTTGGGAAGTGCTGACAAGGTTGGTGGGTTTCAAGGTGGAGTCCATTGAGTCTGAGTGTGGCTCCAAGGACCGGGCCAGACTATTCCCTAGTACAAAGGTTTCACCTGGAAAACAGTAAAACAAGAGTTAGAGCAGGAAATAATCCAGAAGGACTGCTGCGGTGCTGGCTCCCAGCTACCTGTCTGGATGGAACAAAAGGCAGCCAAACAGGAAGTCCTAGGCTGGGTCTCAGGAGGCCTGTGTACCAGTCACCACTCTGGCTCTCACTAGGTGGTCTGAGTCAAGCCCAGTACCTCTCTCTAGACTTGGATCTCCTCAGAGATACTTCCTCTTAGACTAGATGGTCTTTGAGGTTTCTTCTGGTCTAGATATCTTCTGCTTTTTCTAGATAAGGAGAACCTTAAAAAAAAATAGGAAGAGGTTGCCTTACACATAAGCTGCTAGCAAAGAACAGGGTGCTGGAGAAGAGATATACTTGCTTAGGGCATTTCAGAAGCCTACTCTCAGCCAGCCGTTTACTTCAGAAATGCTTCTTGATGCCTGGCCAAAGGGTTGTCTGCAAAGGATCTGCTCCTATGCCCTCCACCCCCTTCATATTTGCCTTGTTCTACGGAAACATTCCAAGGACGCTGCTGGAATGTACAGCGGTGAGAATGTGGGCACAGGACCAGAATCTGGGTTAGAATTTGACTCTGCCCTCTGTAGGCAAGGTGTTTCCCTCAGACCTTGTTATAATATAGGAAGCCCCTTTCTCCCAAGGGGCTTGTAAATACCAAAAGGAAGTAGCTATGAAAATCGTTGTAAAGGGAATCTCAGCCTGACATTTCTATACCCAGGCCATGGCCCAATACCAGCAGCATCCCCTAAGCACTGCACTGCAGAACCTGAAGCAGATTCTGCCTCATCACTGGGTTCCAGACATCAAAACAGCTCCTTAGTCATGGCCACAGCATTCTCTATTTATGACTTGGGGGTGGGGATGGGTGGGTGTCTCAGGAATTGGATCATATCACTGTCCTTTGTGGTTCTCAGAATTCTGGTGTTTAGATAATGCTTGTGATTCATTTAGGCCCTCTAATAAATTCAAGCTCATTGTCTGGCATACAATAAGACCTCTGGCAAGATGGTTTAGGATTTTAGAACTGCTTTCTGACTCTCACCTAAAATTTCTTGGTAACCATGGACTTAATGTTAAATCTAACATGAGACAGATTTCACCCTTATCTCAGAGAATTTAACTAATGAAGCCTTCCCCTAAAAACGATTCTGAAGAGAGAAGTCTCTGAGGCCCCAGAATACCTAAACCATATCACTCCCATTCTACAGGTGAGGTTCCAGATTCCTATTTTCCAGGAGAGATGAATACTGCATTGTCCTGCCTTGAGACAAGGACAGGAACCCAATCCAGAAAGCAAGGCCTGAGTACTGTGTCTGAGCTCCTGCCATTTATTAAGCGTGTCATCCTCAATAAGTTGTCTTCTCTGAGCACCAATTTTTTCATCTGTAAAATGGAAAAACCACCATTTGTCATGCTGAGAACATCAAATGAGGAAATGGAATGGGTTGAAATTTACAAAGGCTGAAGTCGTTGTTATTCTTCAGTCAGAGTTAAGAGTGGCAAACCTACGTATGTTCTCTGCAATAGCTCAAGAAATAGATAAAGTGAAATTTCTGCATTTATCAGCAGGACAATCTCATCTTTCTAGTCCTCATTTTACTCAGTGGAGATAATACCTCCTGTTTCACAAGAGCTAACAGATGTGAAAAATAATTATGATGACAATGCTTGTAGCTTACCAGATGCTGATGCAAATCAGTAAGTGTCTTTTCCTCTCAGCAATGCTAAGAATGGTAACTGAAATCTGAATTCTGAATTGAGGGACCTGAAAATCTGGACTGGTGGTACTGGGCTAGGCAAGGCCATAAGATCTTATCCTAATGAGATGCAGTGGGAAAAAATCATACCTGAGGCTCTGGGAGGTTCTACTAAAGGCTGATCTCCCTAGGATAGTGCCAGGGACAGCAATGCTTTCAGGCTGGGGGCTTTAAGAGAAAGGCCAAGGAAAGAGAGCTCTGGATCTCATCCCAGTTTCTACCAAAACAGCTCCAGTTTTAACTTCTATGCACCAGAGTTTTGTGTCATCTTAACTTGTAAAAAAAAAAAAAAAAAAAAAAGGAGTTCTACTGCTAAAGCAAAGCAAACTTTGAAACCTCTGGCCCAGGAATCAGAATTAAGGCTGGAAGACATGATTTCTCTATTTCTAGCACAATCACTAGTCAATAATCACTGTCTTTTTATCCATCTGTAAAATGAAGATGAAAACCCTGAACCTCATAAGGTTGATATGCTGGTGACAAGAGAACAATCAGCATGAGTGGGAGCTCATTCATTCATTCAACAACATTTGGTTAAGCCCTCTATTTGCAAGCCACTATGCTAGGGATGGGGTTATGCAAAGGTAAACAGACAGATAAGGATCTTGCCCATACGCATTTATTTTTAGTGAGTGGCAGATCTCTGCGTATCATATTGCAAGACTGACCTTAAAAACCAGAGTTCCCAGTGGAGGGTGACCAGAATACTGGTGAGAAGCAAAGAAGGAAAAATCTGGGAATGTAGAATATGGAGAGCAGTCAGAGGAGACAAAAACCCTAAAGGCAGTCATGGGATGGGAAGAGGATTGGGAAGGCAGAGAACGCAACAGGGGGCAGGCATTAAAAGAAAACAGATTTCAGCTATAAAGAGAGGCATTTTCACAATCAGAGGGTCTAACAGTAAGACTGATTGCCAAAGGTGACAGTGAGCAACATAGCATTAGGAGTATTTAAGCAGAATTCAGATAAGTGAAGGAGCACAGAGGAGTCAAAATCTAGATGGTGCTCTGACTTGCCTGAGCAGAGTTAAAATGCTCATTTCAGGGAAGCAAATAAAGACTAGGGTGAGAGCAGCTACGTGGCTGGGAAGCCACTATGAGAACCAGAGGTTGCAAAGTTGACTGAATCTGTCTGAAAATGAGGGAAGGAAAGGGGGACAGCCAGTGGTGGAATGTGATAACCCTAGCATTGGTCTCTTTGGTGAGAGGTAAGGATAAGAGGTTAAAGCTTGCTTCCTCCTATCTGAATCAGCAGAGAGATGCAAACTGGAATAGAATACCCAGGAAAGGTCATGGCCATAATACCAAATGGCCTTGGGGACTGCAGGTCCATGATATGCACTGTTACCAGTCTCTGCATGCTGCTACCAGGACATTTCTCTTAGTTCTTAATGACCAAATTCCATTGAGGAATTCGGAGTGGCTATTTCTTTGAGAAATCTGTCTTTAGGCTAGCAGCTACACTCATGGACATACTACTCCCTTTCATGTATCTGCTCTTCCAGAATCCCAGGCAGGCTTTACTTTCATAACTGAGGTACAACTTAAGAGTTCCTGATTGCCTATGGCTGGGGACATTTCATAGTCTGCCATTGTCTGCACCAACTTCACCAGCTCAGCCCAGACTCCCAGTGGAACATTCTAACTCTAGGTGAGAATGGCTTTTTCTGTTCTCAGAGATTCTGATGCTGAAAGAACATAATTTAGAGCAGGTTAGGTAAGAAAAAGGATCAATGACCAGGTCACACATATGTCTGCGCAGACCAGATGGCCTGGTCCCCACAAGCAGTATTTGAAAGTTAGGTATATTTTTATAAGTTATGTAAGCAAAGCTCATTTGGATGCAAACATTAAGGGGGTGGTGGTGGCTGGGCTGGGTGAGTAGCCACTTTCCTGAGCACATTCTTCAGAATGGCACTTTATCAGAAGTGATTCTGGTAATATAATAATAAAAAGATTACTAGGGAAGGCAGTATGAGAACAAGACTGGTTAGAGAAGGTCAGAAGGGGGCACCTTTCAGACTTACATGCTCCCCCATCAACAGACAGCACAGCTCTGAAGCTGACAGCACCGCCTCTCCACTCCTCAGGCCAGAACAAAGTCCACAGGCTCCTTTAAAGGCCTATCCTCCCTCTCTCAACAATGACCTACCTCGCTATGTTCTGGGCCGAGTTTTCCTTCCCTCCCTGTCGTCTGTGTCCTGGGCTCCAGATTAGAGCGGCTGCGTTCCATTCACTCTTTAACCTCTCTCGGAAGTGCTTAGTCACTGATCCGGCCACGTGGCATCCGCTTTCCCGTTGTGGGACTGGTATGTTAACTAAGAAAGTTATTTTCCAGCCTAGTTAGAAACAGCAGGAACTTGAATTGACTTGCTAGACTGGCAGTGCAGGAGGAGTTAGGGCTACGTGCCAAAGGAAAGAGTAGATAGCCAATCACCAGGGAGCACATTTCTCAATCTGTAGCTTGAGACTAAACCTTCCTGCTGGCAAGGGAGATCTATGGTAGGCCCTTGCTGCCAGACTCACACTGGGAGACGTACTGTGACTCCACATGCAGTTTGGAGCTCAGAAGAGGATTCGTGAACCATCTTTTTTTAGGGACAAAACCAAAGGAAAGAAAGTTCATTCTACAGAGAGGGGACAAAATCCCGAAAAGAGAGTAAAGATGAGAGGAGACCAAAAAGTCCCATATGGGGCAAAGGTTAAGGACAGAAAAACCAGCTTCTGGATAATAGGAGCCAGGCTAGCAGGTGAGAGGGCTGATCCCAGGCCCTCCCTAGAGCTGCTACTAGCCCTGCCCCCTTTTTTAGCCCAGGCCCCATCCCAGCTCCTACCTGGTAGGTACCTGTCGTGGCTGTGGCCGTACTCTGTGTTGGTGAGTGACAAATGAGTCTGTGTAAAAGGCTGGTTGCCAAACAGATTGTCACTGCGAAGGTTGTGGCAGAGTTTCTCCAGGAAGCGGAGAACGTAGGTGATGCTGTTGACTGCTGGGAGGTTGAGGGTGTGCTGTTCTCGATCAAACACGGCTGTGAAGTGAAGTAAACAGGGCTGAGCATGTCAGGCGGGCAGTTCAGTGCAGCACTGGGCAGGCCAGCCCACAGTTTGTCTCAGGCTTACCTGGTTACACAAAGGCAATCAGTGCCCACGTCTCCTCCCTCCCTCTCTCCACCCTCCCTTGAGGGTTTGATTTTTGCCTCCAACTCCAAAGGGCTTGCAGTTATGGGAGTGGCCAGGCCAAGTCTGTTGCACCTGGGGCTCTGGAAGGATTTTATTCAACTTGTGAAAACAACTGTGAACATAATTCTATCTGCTCCATCAGTTGACTGGGCCTCATCCAGGAAATCTGTTCATTTAGGGTGCTATTTCCATAAGAACTGCCCAAGAACAGAGGAACTGGGCAGAAGAGAATACAGCCATTGCCAGCACTGGTTTGGGCGCACAATCCGATCTGTATAAGAGCACTAGAATTTCAGCAACATTTGAAACTGTGCCATGCTTCGTTTTATTTTACTCTATTTCTATTCAAAAAGTATCTGTCTAGTCTTTAAAAAGCTAAAAGCCTCTGCATTTGTCTCTGAGAGCAGCAGGAAATGGGGATGTGGTGGGGATAGATCTTTCTTAGAAACCAATTTTGGGGCAGAGAAAGAACCCTATAGGGGTTTGCTGTAAAGAGAGGCAGTGAACCTGTGAACTGGTGGGTCACAGTTCGGTTCCTGGTTGGGGCATGTGCCTGGGTTGCAAGCTTGATCCCCAGTGGGAGGTGTGCGGGAGGCAGCTATCAATGATTCTCATCATTGATATTTCTTTCTTTCCCTCTCCCTTCCTCGCTGAAATCAATAAAAATATGTTGAGAGAGAGTGAGAGAGAGAGACAGAGGCAGTGAAGAAGCCAGGGCTCTGCAGACCATTGCACAAAAGCAAAGGAGAGACTAGGGCATGGCCTCTGCCTCAGAAGGAAAGGAAAGCTCGATTTCCTATGCAGTTCTCAGCCTTCTGCAACAATGCCTTCCTGGCTTGCCCCATCCTCTTCTCAGGCAATTACTCTCGTCTGGGCTCTGACACTACCCTGTACATACTTCTCTGCTATAACACCTCTCACCGTGAGACATTCTTCCTTTTCCACCAGGGCAGAGTCTGAGCCTGTCATCTTCGTTCTCCCCTTCCCCCGGCCAGTGTCTGGCAATAACCTCTGACATACAGTAAGGGCTTAATAAATGTTTGCTGAAAGAATACAGTTGGATTATGCATGAGGTTTTCCATGTCAACTGTTTCCTGAGGTTGGATATTGCAACTTGTTAGAAGGAAGGGGCAGGAGATTATGGAGGAGCACATAGTTAAGATTGAAAGGCTTTAGATCAAGTCTTCATAGGTTTGATGGTAAAGAATAGCATTTTGGACTTATGAGAACTGAAAGAGAACAGGGGCACAGCAGAAAAAGTAAATATTCTCAGTGAAAACAACAGAACACTGTGCAGCTGACTCAGATCTCAGAGCGGGAAAGGAAGAGGAAATGACTCTTCCTCTCTGCCCTGGCAGTCAACTCCCTTGGATCAGGGCTGGCTTTGAACTACGGAGCTAAGAATTTAAAAGAGTGAGAAAAGAATATATGGTTCCCTCACGCCAGGTGGGAGGCTGTGGCAGTCTAGAGAAACTCTCCTGTTGCCATAGAATAGCCCCCTTTTGATTCTTCTGTCTCCCGGGATACCTTTAAAACAACACACTCGTAGGTCCACAGCAGAGGCATCTGTTTAGAGGCTCAGTTAAGACTCTAAACAGAGTCTGTGTGGGTATTCTACTTGGCAGAGGTGCTCAGGGCGTTGAAAGTGAATATTCTCTGAGGAAGGGATACCTTCACACTTCTCCAGAGCCTTCAGGTGTGAAGTGGGAATCAGGATGCCTTGTCAGAAATTAGCCAATTGAGAAGGTCTCACTGAAGGGAGCTTACCTGAGATAATCTCACCACCGTGGCCCTGCTTGAGGAAGCTGAAGACAGTTTTCTGGTGATAAGCACAGTCAATGCAAGCCTGGACAGCCTGCTGCAGCACCACAGAGGCACGGGCTGGCCCAAAATGGTCAGGCAGCTGCTGGACCTTCTTCTTATCTAAGTGGGGGCCTGTGCTGCCGTTCTTGTTTAAATAAATACAAACTGCAGGAGACAAATAATAAAATTTAAAAAGCTTAAAGAGTCCATGGGGTAGAGAAGTTGGACAACAGTGCTTTCTTCTGTCTTTTGTACCCTAGACTCTGGTCCTGAGCAGGTCTCCCAGCTGCTAAGCTGGTGACACACTGTGGGAGGAGGAAGATGGTTGTGCCCAGCTGCTGCCAGCCCAAATTGCATGACCAAAGGCTCTGGGAACACAGCCTGCTGGAAGAACAGCCTGAGCAAAAGCCAGGGCATGGAACTTGCACTTGGCGTTTTGTGCACTGAAAAAAAATTTAAACTATTTCCCAGATATGTGTACTTTCATTTTTGGTGCTTGGTTGCTCACATATTCTTTGTGTATCTTACCTTAAATGTTTAAGAGATTATGGGATTATGGAAATTTAAGAGAGAGAGAGAGAGAGAGAGAGAGAGAGAGAGAGAGAGAGAGAGAGAGAGACGGAGTTAGTTTTCGGTTCTGGGCCTTGGGAGTCCCCTTTTTATCTTCTATATATCAACACTTAGGACCAAGAAAGTAGTAAAAGGATTTTAAAAAAAGAATAAAGAAAAATATGAAAAGGGGAAAAGGGCTCGAGGGTCCCATCCAGATATTTGTTTCAGTAGTTTTGCTTGTCTTAATAGCTGGGCACTCCCCTAACTGCAACCCTCCACTTGGCACCATGGTGGGGAAGGGCACGCTAAAGAGGCGGTCCTAAACAGAATTGTTTCCTTGGTCTCCCGAAGGGCTCGCTCACAGGAAGCTGCTCAGCTGTGACACTCTCCCTGCTGATTTGCCTTCCAGGCTTCCATTTCAGTAGGGGATACTCTCCTTCCTCACATTGTCATGGCTCACTAACTGAAGGAGCTGGAGGACAAAACGCCTCTTTTTTACTTTTATTAAAGACAAATATTATAGGATAAGAGCAGCAGCTGTGTGGGCTGTGGATGAAACGCTGCCCTTTTGGGCCTCATGCTTACCATCAGTAAAATGAGGGGGCTGAGCTGGATGCTCTCCTGGGACACTTTTATCATTCTAAGGGGAAGCAAGATGGAGAGAAGAAAATGGAAAACAGGAAGGAGAAGGAATGATATGGAAGGTGAGAGGTGAAAATAAAGAAAGGAAAAAAAGAGAAATAAGATGAATTGAAATAAAATTTAACTTTGTTTTCTCATAAAACCCACTAAAATGAGCCAGATACCAGAAAGAAGATAACATACAATTTCAGGAGCTGGAAAGCAGACTGGCAAAGTAGTAATGACTCAGCAGACCTAAGAAAGCTAAAGCCTTAACCAAGAGTGGGCAACGATGAGAACCAAGCTGTTCATCTGATAATTCACAAAAGGCCCAAGAATGGGCCAGTGCCTCTGGAGGTGGGTATGGAGGTAGGTCTAATAATTGAAGGATTGAAGTCTGTTAAGAAATGGGACTACCATATCAAAACTTGACTCTTTTGCTAAAAACAAAATAAATAAAAATGAAAGAACTCAGAGATAAGAAGAGTAATGAAAATAAATGAAACATTATAAGAATATTCATAGCAATTTAGCCATACTAGTTTTAAACCCAAATGTCCATAAACAAGAGAGTGGATATAAAAATTGTTGTATATTTACTTATTGAAATACCATGTGGCTATAAAAAAAAAATATTGATAGAGTTTCTCACAAACATTATTTTGAGAGAAACAAACCAGATGGGAAAGAGTATTCTATATTTAGTATATCAATTTATATTAAGTTCCAGAACAGAAAAATCTAATCTACAGTGATAGAAATAAAAATAAAGATGAGAGTGAAGACTGTAAGGAGGCATGAGGTGACTTCTGGAGAGTGAAGAATGGGCAGAAATGACTTTTAACTCAATTGGGATAGTTCATGGGTGCTTACACTGATTATAATTCATCAAACTGTACACTTAAGGTTTGTATGTTTCACTGTATTAGAGTAATAATTAAAATTCTAAAAAAAAAATTAAATTCTACATGGATTAAAAGGGTGAAATATAAAAGACAAACAATGAAACCCTTAGAATAATGTGTCAGTTTTAAAACATGGCCCCCAAATTCTTTGACATTCCTTATACCAATCTCTGTGATATTTGACCAATAAATTATAATGGAAATGACACTGCCAGTTTCTGAGCTTAGGGCTGAAAAAACTAGCAGTTTCCACTTCCTGTCTCTTGGGACATTTACTTCTGGAACCCAACTACCATGTGTGAGGAGGCAAGGCCACCCCAGGTGAGGTCCATGGGGAGAGAAACCAACAGGCAAAACCAACTTGTCAGCATGTGGTAGAAGCGATCCTCCAGCCCTGGTCAGCCTGCCACAGCTGACACTGGATGGAACAGAGACAAGCTGCTGCCATTCAGCCCTGCCCACCTTGTTGTTTTCAGCCATCAAGTTTTGTGGTGGTTTGTTATGTAGCAAAAGATTATTGGGACAGAATGTAGTATTAGAAATAGGGTGCTCCAGTAACAAAAGCCTGGCACACATGACACTGACTTTGGGACTGGGCAGCATAAAAAGCCACAAAGAGAGTGTTGAGAAGGCTGTCAATGAAGACTTACAGGAAAGTGAGAAAAATCTTATTGGAAGATGGAGGACAGGGGACACTTACTAGGTAGTGGTGGAAAGTTACACAGCACTGTCACTTGAAGTAACATAGAAATAGGAAATGTACCTGATAAATTCAATGAAATAGCTAAGGTGATTTTACTCCCTGTGATAAGAGTACAAAATGAGATGAATCAGCTTAAAACAAACATACAGTCTAATGTAAAACATAAAAAAGCCCAGGACTTGCAGAGTTCACAAATAAAATTGTTTCTCATTCACAGTCTCTCTATAAGACAAACAACCCTAAATCGAGAAAGGGTCAAATCCAGAATAGGGAAGGAAATATCTTGTTACAATGTCAGAATGATTTTATATCTATGCTCCAGAGACTCTTTCAGACCAAAAGGCCCTATAAGAATCTCAAGGGCAAATCTTCTCTCCCTTAACAGGACTTTTAAGAATCTTAAGGACATTGTTTCACAGTAGCCCAAACTAGAGAAGGGTTTATCTTCAAGAGATCTATGATTGTAGCTTTTGTCTAATGAAGTAAATTCCAATAGAAAACCCCTCAAGTTTCTAAGAGAATCATTCTGGTGGAAGATTTGCCTGCTAGAATTAAAAAAGGGTAAGAGTGGCACTAAATGAATCCTTTAGACCCCCAATCTTTTACCGACAATCTTAGTTTTCTCATGGAAAAGGAATGATGATGATACAGAGGACAGAAACATGAGTAATGATAAAAAGTCCTAGAAAGTAGTATTGGATCCAACTAATGAATTGCCAACATGTGCCCAGATAGATTTCTATAGACCAGTTACTGCTATGAGGCTCTTGGTTTTTTCTTTGAACAGATGTATCTATAAGGTATCTTCAGCCTGTCCTACCATTGTATGCTACATATGTGGGGAGCAGACAATATGCTTCTTTTCTTCCCCCAGTGTGTCTCATTGTTATTTTATATTTTAAAATATTTTTACTAAATTTATTGGGGTGACATTGGTTAGTAAGATTATATATTTCAAGTGTACAATTCCATAATATATCATCTACATATTTCATTGTGTGTTCAGCACCCAAAGTCAAGTCTCCTTCTATCATATATTTGACTCTCATTACCCTTTTCATCCTTCCTCTCATCCTCTCTGTTAACTACCATATTAGTTAACATCTTTCTTTGGTTCACAGGTCATTGGATAACTACCCTCAAGGAACTGTACCCAAGAACTGCATCTGAGAGGTCTGATTTGCACCTGGATCTGATTTAGATGACAAAATCCTACATCTGGATCCTGATGCTGTAAACTGATGAGACTTTTAAGGGGAATATTGCAGGGGAAGAACAAATTTTTCAAGAGGTAAGAAAATGTAAATAATTTATGTACAGAGAATGGACTAAGTTGGTTTGACAACATGGTCAATAAATCTTTGACTCTCCTCACATTGAAAGGTAGGGCCCATTTTCTTTCTCATGAATCTGTGCTCTGTCTGTTTGATCAAGAGAATATGGTGGAAATGATGCTCAAAGATTAAAAAAAATGGTAGTCTTCACTTTCTGTCTCTTAATACACTGGCTCTTGCAACCCAGCCACCATGGCATGAGGAAGTCCAAGCTACTCTTTGGAGCGGTCTGTGTAGTGAAGAACTAACATCCAGCACCAACTCTGCCAGCCATTGAACAAATTATCTTGAAAGTATATCCTTCAACCCCTGTTGAGCCACCCTAACTAATGCCAAGGGGAAGAGCAACGAGCTGTCCTAATTTTAAAATAGTTGAATATTGCCGAAACCGGTTTGGCTCAAGGGCATGTACCTTGGTTGCGGGCATATCCCCAGTAGGGGGTGTGCAAGAGGCAGCTAATCGATGACTCTCTCTCATCAGTGTTTCTAATTCTGTATCTCTCTCCCTTCCTCTCTGTACAAAATCTATAAAATATATTAAAAAAAATAGTTGAATATTGATATTACCTTTTCCAGGTATATACATAAGCCATTTCTTTTATAGTTTATACTTACTGTCTTGTTTTAAAAATGCTTTCTAATATTAAGGTCATAAAGATATTTTTGTATACTGTCATCTTTTAATTTTCTACTGTATCCATGATATCAGAATTGGAGGTTGTAGCCCTAGCCATTTTGGCTCAGTGGATAGAGCATCAATCACCCTGTGGACGGAAGGGTCCCGGGTTCTGATCAAGGGCACATGCCTCGGTTGTGGGCTCAATCCCCGGTAGGGGGCATGTAAGAGACAGCCAATCAATGATTCTCTTCCTCATTGATGTTTCTGTTTCTCTCTTCCTCTCTGAAATTGATTTTATATATATATTTGTGTGTGTGTGTGTTTAAAAAGAATTGGAGGTTATAAAAAAAAAAAAAGTTCAGAGAAGGGTCCAGCATATAAGGAGCTTGGAAGTACCTTCTTCATACTAACAGTAAGTAAAAAACTGAACAAATGTAAAAATCAACAATTCTTTTTAGATCCATCAGAGAAGTGAGGTCGCGGGCAAACTGCTGTCCCCAAATTTGGAAAGATAGACAGGTGGATATAGAGAATCATGATTTACTAGAACAGAAACGTATGAGCAGAAACCTCCATAGGAACCAGAGCCAAGGTAGGAAAATCTAAACTGTAACTGACAAATTTCTGGAAGCTCAGTGTGGACAAATCTGATAGTTAAAAACTCTAGGGGGCCCAGTCATGTTGGGGGATCCCCACTTTTGTGAGTTTTACCTCTGGAAGCTTGAACAGGTTCTCACAGTGAATATGGGAGAAAAGTCCCCTCCAGCTCCCAGTAGGGGAGTGGTAAAGGAAACATTGTGTACTACATCAGAGCTTTCTGTCTTTAACAAGGTCTGCCCTCAGGAGAAACTATTTCACCAGAGTTTAACCTGCTGGGGTTTTATCAGAGCCTAACCTACCTGGGAGAAGCAATACCCAAATCCAACCCCCTCCAGCCACACTATCCCACTGGTAGGGAGACTAAGAAGCACTGGTGAAATTCCTAGTCCTAGGGTACAGAGTCACCAAAAGACTGAGAGCTACTCGTAGGACTATAGAATACTTCTCCCTTTTCACTTCAATGTCACATTACTAAGAGCCTATTCACAAATTCCTTTCAAGAAGTACAACACATTTGGCTCTCAAAAAAAAAATAAAAATTACAAGGTATACTAAAAGGCAAAAAATGCAATTCAAAGAGCAAGTATCAGAATCAGTTTCAGATATGGCAGGGATGTTGGAATTATTAGATTAGGAATTTAAAACAATTATGGTTAATATACCAGGGAGGATAATGCAGCATACAAGACAGATGGGCAAGGTATACACAGAGATGAAAACTCTAAGAAGAATTTTTAAAAATTCTAGAGATCAAAAACATTGTCACAGAAATGGAGAACATCTTTGATGGCTCATTAGTAGATTGGACATGGCTGAAGAAAAAATTGCTGAGATTGAGGATATCTTAATAGAAATTTCCAAAACTGAAAAGCAAGTAGAAAAAAAACAACATACCCCCTCCCCCACAAAAACCCAGAATAGACTATTTAAGAACTGTGGGGCAGCCCTGGCCAGTGTGCTCAGTGGTTAGAGAGTTGGCCCATGCACAGAAGGATCTCGGGTTCGATTCCCAGTCAAGGGCATGTATCTGGGTTGCAGGAAGAGACATTCTCAGGTTTTTTTGATTGTTTGTTTGTGTGTTTTTTTGGTGTGGCTATTGTCAAAGTGAAATAAGGTTTCTTTGATTGTTTTTTGACAGGATGGAGGTTTCCCTGAAACTATTTCAGATGCCAAAGATAATTTTTTTTTACAAAAAGATTTTATTTAGGTTTATAAATGGACAGGGAGTTAATATTGGTGCAAGATGAGAAAGTACAGACACAGGGACCTGGGGCTTGTTGCAGCTAATACTATGATCTGTTCTTACCTGTGGGGGCCTGCATGGCTGAGCTGGGGATGGTTGCAGCATCTTGGGGTACAGTGCTGGTGTCCGGTTCAGGGGTGCTGGTTGTTGGTGAGGTGGGTGGTGGATTCAGCAAAGTCCGAGGTTTTCTCTGTCAAAATGGATGGGGGAAATTTGCTACCCATGATAGGTAACTTGTCTTCTTACTCCTCTATTCTAGTACTTAATTCACCCATGAAATAAAAATATATTTGTAGATGGGACTGTGTTTTATCTTCCCCCCGCCCCCCCAGCATCTTGTCCAAAGCTGAACATGCTTAGTAAATATTTTCTGAACCTATGCACAAGAATCTCGGTTTCTGTACAGCCAGAGCTTAACTCACTCTCTTTTATACTAGACTCAATATTATGATTTTAAGTTCCTGATTTTTTATTAGTTGTGCAGACAAAAGCAAAAAAAAAAAAAATATTATGGCTTGAGTCTACTTTGACATTATTTGGTACTTTCTCTTTCTTGAAAAATGGAAATGTACATTTTCCTAACTCTACACACTATATCCTCTGCCTACCTCTTGTGCTCATTACCTGCCATTTATTATTTTTGGCCTTATACTCTAATAATCTCTAACTATGATACTTCTCTAAAAACCATACCTGGTCTACATCTTTATACTAATAAACCATCCCTTCTGTTTGAAATCTCCTTTCTTTTTTTATCTGACAAATATCTAGATTTTCTCTAGTTATTGTCTCTTTTGTGCTATCTCTGTCCTTTGCATAGTTGCACTTGTCACATGTATTGTCATTATATACTTATGTACTGCTGTACCTGATTAGCCTGGAGCTCCCTGAGAGTCTGATTTGGAGTACCATTCCTGGCATGATACTTGGCATATAAGTATCAACACTGTTTTTCAATGAAGCATACAGTATAGAATACCAATGATGGGGGAAGTAATAATGATGATTTGAGAAACTCCTAGCATCTCTCCTACGCTGGTCAGAGCAGCCTTTGGGGGAGAAGGATCTTAGAAGGTTCTTTCCAAGATAAATTTTTCTAAAAGCCTTTCTGAAGGCAAGAAAAACATATTCATCATTGAGGTCCAGAATCCCCTTTTACTAAATGTCATGTAAGGTCACACTGCTGGGAGCTAAATCACATGTGTCAAACACAAGGCCCGCGGGCCAAATCCGTCCTGCCAGGCCTTGCAATGTGGCCCGCACTGCGCTGTCATCACTGCACTCCGCTGCGTTTCCATCACAATGACAGTTTATGACTGTTCAGTAAACCATTCGGCCCGCGATTTAGGCTGGATTTTAGATTTTGGCCCCTTCTCTGACTGAGTTCGACACCCCTAAGCTAAATAAACCTGTTTGCCTTCTAGGAGTATTATTTAAAGAGCACCAATGACAGCAAGAATATACTAAAAGATGGCCTTGCCTGTGAAAGGAATCGCACAAATACTTATGAAAGCATACATGGGCTATGGACAACCCCTCATAGTTTTGATATTGCAAAAAGTATAAATCCAAATAAACAATGAGTTGGGATAGAAAGGTTCAACTTCACTGAGTTGGTGGTGGAATTTCCTGAGTCCCTGAAGGAACAACCCTAGTAAATAAGGTGTCCAAATATTGTAGGAATCAGAAAAATGGAGGACATTATTATTATTTGAGATAGGTGCAATTACATGCATTATACCTATTCATAGTATATTACCCCATCTCCATTTTATGGGGCTCACAGCCTTACTCAAAGTCACACAGGTGGTAACAAATGGAGATGAGATATAAAACTAAGTATGCCTGGTTTCAAAGCTTTTAGTCACAAGATTACCTTGCTTCACAAAGGAATATAAAAGTTATGGGTTGAATGGAAAGGATATATACTTATAGCAGTAGGTAAAAAGGACAGGAAGGGATTCAAATGCCAGGCCATTAAAATACAGGATAAGATAAGAATTGCTGCTTTCAAGAGGTTTGAAAGAGGACTCTGGCTATTATATTTGGGACTGTCTGAGGAAACAGAGCAGAGGCAATCATAGTCATAGTTCTTAGGTTCTGAAGGATCTTATAGGTCATTTAATCAGCCTTCCACCCCAGTATTTCTATTTCCTTATCTCTGATAACACCCCTTCCATCAGTCACTGATGAAATTCCTCTAATGATAGGCATCACTACTATTTTGGAATAGATTTAACTAAATATAGACTTTTAGTTAAATTTCCTTTATCCTGAGACAAAACCTGTCTGCTTAAGCTTTTGCTTATTTGGTTCTTATCCTGTCTTTGGAACCTTACAGACAAGTTTTCTCCCTCTTTAATTTGTCTGTGCTCAAAATGCCTTCACATAATCAAAAGCACAGCTTCTCTAGCCTTGTAATCCTAGGGTCTTCAGCCTTTCCTTCAAACATGAGAATGAGAAGAGAGTTATGGAGACAAAAATGAATCAGGGCCTGGGGTAGGGGTTAGTGGTAGTAGGTCAGGAGCATTACGTGTTATATACAAAGATCAGGATGTGACATCAAGAATTCAAAGCCAATAAGTAAGAAACAATCTCAATTGGAAAATCATCACTCAAACCATCCATCCATCCATCCATCCATCCATCCATCCATCCATCCATCCTGCATATACTGAACATCTCTCAAGAGACAGATATATAAGGCACTATAGAAAAAAGGAAGAAGAAAAAGATTAGATTCTCAACCTTAAGGAGCTTACATTCTAGGACTGAAGTCAGCTGGAGCTATGGAGCAAACAAAAACCCAATCAACTAACAAACAAAACCTAGGGAAGAACTTGTGAGATTGGAATGGAGTTCCTAGGAAGACTGGGATTCATCTCCAGAGTGAAAGTCAGGTAGTCTAGTTCAGGAGGAAGTTGCAGAGAAATCCTGAAGGTAGGGAGGGAATGGAGAAGGTGATGCCAAGGGAAGCCCTAGAGAAGAAGCTGAGGAACTTTCATATCAGTGGTTTCCCTAGGGAAGATCTGCATGAAGAACTGGTCATGCATAGTGAATAGTGCTCAGTAAAGCCTGACTCAGGAATCCTTTCCTATACTAAAGGTAAGTGTTATCTCCCTCAAGAAATGCGAGAGTGAATATGTGGTAAGGCAGCAGTGACTTTGAAACTAGAAGATCTTGAGACCCATCTCTGTTTATTAGCTATGTGATGATAGAGAAGTTATATCTTTAAGCATCAATTTACTTAACTTTTAAATAACATTAACACTACTCATCTCCTAGACTTTTGTGAAGAATATGTGATATATAATCATATAGAGCCTGATATAGAGCTTGATACGTAATAAAAATTCAATAAATTTTTTTTTAAAGAAGGAGCAGGATAGAAAAAATACTTTTACAAAGTCAATATCCTCTTTTTATTTACAAGCTTGGGCATCCACTTTGGGCAGGTTAACAATCAGGAGCAGGGCTTCCATCTCTGGAAGATAGACCAGAATTCCCTTGAATATGAGTAACTTTCAAAGTCAAAATTTGTTTGTTATCCATACTATCCTATATCTAATATAACCTACTCTCAGGTAAATAGATAAATAGGGATTACAACTTAGTAAATTCCTCTTAAAAGTATACACAAGGTGAAGAAATAGGACCAGACATACCCCTTTCCAGGAAGTATGGATATGGGTAAATTATCCCTTTATATTCCTTTACTAGTGGCCTGGTGCACAAAATTTGTGCAGGGGGGCGGGTAGAGGGGATCCCTCAGCCTGGCCTGCACCCTCTCCAATCTGGGACCCCTCAGGTAAGTCTGACTGATGGCAAGTACAACAGAGATGAGTAAGAGCCTATAATGTGATAAATAAAATTATTAGGAGGTACTGTTTTGCGGTATTATTACATATTCCCACACATTCTCCTTTGTTTTCTTTTTCCTCTCTCCAAGGTAAGTAGCTGGTTCTGCTTTTATTGCTAAGGGAGAAAGATTCAACAGAACATTCTGAATGGTGGCTACCTGGGTTTAGATATAGGTAAACATTTATTGAGCTGTACAATTGAGATTTCTATATTTTACCTGGATATTTGGCTCTTGTGTTTGCATAAACATAAGCAGTGGCTTCTAACCCACAGGTTAGAATCATTCAGGGACACTTAAAATTTACTGTTGGCTGGATACTCTCCAAATCAGCAAAATCAGAATCTATGGAAATTGAACAAATTGGAACTCTAATTTCTGAAGGGGCAGACTTGTTGTTTAGAATATTTTACACACACACACACACACACACACACACACACACACACACACACGCCTCAAGTGATTCCCATGAACAGCTATCATTGAAAATCAATAACACCCAAGGGAATTTAGAGTCCTTGTAAAGAGGCAGAAGAATTCAGGCATAATAGACAACTGTGTTGCTAGAAACAGCAGGAAATGTGGGCCTTCCCTCATGCTCTACAGCAGACTAAAAAGCCTCATGATGTCTGTCCTGCCTCCCTGGGTCCCTGATGAACCAATACCCTGTGGCTGGAGCCTTCCCGGGCCCCCAATGGATTGGGACCCCACAGTTAGGGCTTGGCGCTGCCCGCCCCATCTGTGTATACAAATTTATCCGCCATATTTGTTGGGTTAATTTACATATCACTCCTGATTGGCTGGTGGCGTAGAGGAGGTACAGTCAATTTACATGTTTGCCTATTATTAGGTAAGATTCCTTTATGGAAAAACCACATTTTTACCTACCTTACTGCCAGGTTTGGGGCCCCTCTTCTTTGGGAATTTCAATGGTTCAGCTGCCTTGGATGGGGTAGCGATGGGATGGGGAATTAGGGGCTTGGGTGTCCGGCCCCGCTTCTTTCCTGATTTACGCCCCCTCTGCCCTGGCTGATGATCCAAGTCAGTTTTGGTGCTGCTGTGAATGCTGGGCTTCTCAGTGTTCACATCAGATGCAGGATAGGGACTCTTTGGAATCACAACTGTAAGATAAAGACTCATTCTATCACCTCTTCCTCCCATCCCAGCAGGAGGGGGAAAAAAAGAGACTTCTTACTTCCATTTGGGTAGTTTTATCCCAAAAAGCTAGTTTCCTGGCATCTTACCTAAATATTAGAAAATCTCAGAAGAGAACTGAAGTTTGGCTTCAATTAGAAGCTTAATTATTTCAATTAGAAGTTAGATTGGCTACAATTTGAAGCTTAATTATTTCTGGTATATGCAGTAGAAAAATATTAAAAATTTCTCCCCAAGGTATATAAACAGAACCATAGACTCAGAGACAGAATGCCCACAATCTTTTCCTGCTAAGAATGAAGATTAGAGGTTCAGAAGAGGAAATGATTCCTTCCCCAGGTTACACTGTAAGTTGGGATGAGGACTTATATTTTGAAAGTAGGCTCTTCAACCAAGTCAGGGATTTTCTACATCAATCTTCTTAATGTTATTATTATAGTGAGGAGTAGTGAAACATATAGAAATATAATATATCTGATAGCATCTCTTTTTAACCTTAAACATTTTTGCTCCATATTACCTTTAAGGCAAAGTGCAAATTCTTTATCCTTATATCCAAGGACTTCTGTGACTTTGCCCCTGCCTTGCTCTCCAGTTATGTCTGATGTCACTTCCTGTCAACTGTCCCCATGTTCTAGACCCACTCTTTTTTGAATGCCAAGTCATATGTTGAGTTCTCTATTCTTTCTGGTCAGACATACATCAATTTTCAGTTTCCAACATTCACCTCCTTAAATGAGGCCTTGTTTGACTGCATCCCAAATAAGTTAGTGTCTCCTTTCCCAAAGCATTTTGTAGACATCTATGTTACTTTCAATTTTGCTACAATCATTCATCTTCTTCTTAAATAGATAATTCTTTAAGATATCTAATTCTTCCACAAATATTTCTTGAGCACCTACTATAGTTTATGCGCTGTTCTAACCCTGGGGTTAGAACAATGCACAAAACATTGTTTTCATCTTACAGAACTTACTTTCTAGTGGGGGAGAAAGAAAATAAAATAATAAATATACAATATATTGTTAGGTAAGTGTTATGATCAAAACTAAAGCAAGGTAATGAGATAGAAGGGTGAGAAAAGTCCTCTCTGAAGAGATGACATTTGTAGAGCTCCCATATGAAATAAAGGCAAAGCCTTATGAAGATCTGAGGAAAGAGCTGTACAAGTAGAAAGCATATAACAAGTGCAAAGATTCTGAGATGGGAACCTGCTAGCGTGTTTGAGAATTGGAAAGGTCAGTATATAACTGGAACTGAGTGAGCAAAGGGGAGAGAAGAGGGGGAATAGGTTAGAAAGGGAATAGTGATAAGATTATGTGAGACTTTGTAGACTGCAAAAGTGAACCTGAGCTGGGACCGGTTTGGCTCAATGGATAGAGCGTCGTCTTGGGGACTGAAGAGTCCTGGGTTCGATTCCGGGCAGGGGCATGTACCTTGGTTGCGGGCATATCCCCGGTGGGGGGTGTGCAGGAGGCAGCTGATCGATGACTCTCTCTCATCGATGTTTCTGACTCTCTATCTCTCTCCCTTCCTCTCTGTACAAAATCAATAAAATATATTAAAAAAAAAAAAAAAAAAAAAGGGAACCTGAACTTATTCTAAGTATGAAGGGAAGCAACTGGAGGATTCTCAGCACAGGAGTGACAGAATATACTTAAAAAAGAACACTGCTCAGAGATGGGGTAAGGCAAGATTAGAACTACAGAGACTGGTTAAAAAACTCATTATAGTGAATAAGTAGAAGGTAATGTTTCTAGGTAGAATGTAATAGATTATGACAATGCAGCATGGCTTGTAAAAGTCAGATAAATTATTGTAAATAACACTGCAGAACTGTAGAAATCATGAAGATTAGATGAACTGGAATTCCAGACCTGGTTGGGGAGGGCTTCTTAAGTATCTGACACTGTTTTCTTTCCTGAGGGCATTTGCCAATTTGGGGCATGAATTTTGGGTCAGGAGCTCGATTAGAGAAAAAAGAAGTCAGAGAGGTTGGTGTAACAGATTGGAACTTGAGGAGCTCCATGTGTGCGGCCAATTTTCCCCATGGCACATTTGCTGAGTTCTGAGTCTGTATACTAGAGACATGAAGCAAGGATGAGAGTTTCTAAGATCTAGAATAAAATCTCCCATAATCTTGAGGTTTAAGGAAACAAAGTCCTACTAGAAAGAGGAGCTCTATCTAAAAAACATAGCTGATTTTCTCTTCAAGAATTAAAAATTTTAAGAAACTTGAGAGGTCAAAGAACTAAGCTCTAAATTTCTCAAGGGTATTCTTATAGTTTTTCAGGGATAAGGAGATGGAGATCTATTAAGTTCTCAATCAAGAACCTAGGAAGGCCCATGCTGGATCAATCAAGCATGTTTTATTATTCCATATTTATCTCCAGAGCTCGGCTTTTGGACTGAAGGGTCCCGGGTTCAGTTCTGGTCAGGGGCACATGCCCAGGTTGTGGGCTTGATCCCATAGGAGGCAGCCAACTGCAGATTCTCTCTCATCATTGATGTTTCTCTCTCTCTCTCCTCTCCCTTCCTCTCTGAAACCAATAAAAATATATGGGAAAAATAAAACACAATCTATGAACATCAAGAATAAAAGAGATCCTTCAGACATTAAGAAAATAAATAAATTTTATAAATACATTTGAAATTTTATATTAAATGGTCAACTTCCTTGAAAAAATACAACTAATACCAAAACCAGGGTAAGACAACACAAAGAAAGAGAATTACAGGCCAATCCCTCTTGAGCATAGATTTCAAAATCCTCAACAAAATTCTAGCAAAGCGGATCCAGCAGTAGATCAGAAAGATCATACTCCATGAACAAGTAGGATTTATTCTGGGATGCAAGGATGGTACAATATTTGCAAAACAATGAATGTGATACATCACATAAACAAATTGAGATAAAAATCACAGTCATATAAATTGATGCAGAAAAAGCATTTGACAAAATTCAAGCCCTTTCTTGATAAAAACCCTCAGCAAAGTGGGAATAGAGGGATCAACATAATAAAAACCTTATATGACAAACCTATAGCCAACATCATACTCAATGGGCAAAAATGAAAACCTTTTCCCCTAAGAATAGGAACAAGACAGGGATGCCTACTCTCACACTCCTGTTCAACATAGTACTGGAAGCACTACCAATAAGAAATAAAAAATTAGAAGAAGAAATAAAAGGCATCCAAATTGGAAAAGATGATGTAAAATTGTCATTATTCACAGATGACATGATACTGTACATAGAAAACCCTAAAGACTCCATCAAAAATTATTAGACTTGGGAGAATCCAAGATGGCTGCACAGGTAAACACCTAGCCGCAGCTGCACACAACAATTTCAATAAAATACAACTAAAATATAAAATGGACATTACCCAGAACTATAGGAAAGTCGACTTACTGGAAATTCTACAACAAGAAGCAAGGAAAAAACCAGAAGGAAGAGCCGAGGAGCTGTAAATGCCTAAGGTATGGAGACATGCGGCACGTGCGCGGAGAGGATGGAGCCGGAGAGGAGGGGCGGCTGAGTGCCTGGCTGGCATTTCCTAGCGGGAAGGAGATAAAAGCTCCGACTGTGCTAAACCCAAGACCCGACAGTGCTGAACCTCATTTCTAGGCCAGACCCTGGGGACCCAGGCTCAAACAGAGGGAGCTGGGGCTGTGAGGCGGAATCCCAGGGAGCAGCGAAAGGCAGAGCCCCCGGAGGCGTGCACAGGCGTGCACTGTAGACTCTGCTGCTAGAATGCCCTGGAGGGAAGGAGACAAAGTCTCCGGACTGTGCTGGGCTCCAGTTCTGACTGCTCTGAACCCCAGTTCTAGGCCAGACCCAGGGGACCCAGGCTCATCCATAGGGAGTGGCGAAACGAGGTCCTGGAGGCGCACACATTGTGTGCAGAGAAGGGACGGTTGGCTGTGCTGCGGGATTGCCTTGGCGGGAAGGAGACAAAAGCTCCGGACTGCTCTGAACGCCACCTCCAACTCCATTTCCAACTGAACTGAACCCCAGTTCCGGGCTCATTGGGGTAGAGTCTAGATCACATGTGTCAAACACAAGGCCCGCGGGCCAAATCCATCCCGCCAGGCTTTGCAATGTGGCCCGCACCGTGCTGTCATCACTGCACTCCGCTGCGTTTCCATCACAATGACAGTTTATGACTGTTCAGTAAACCATTCGGCCTGCAATTTAGGCTGGATTTTAGATTTTGGCCCCTTCTCTGATTGAGTTCGACACCCCTAGTCTAGACTGTTTGGTAACAGGCGAAAATCTAGGGCACCTCTCTCTCAGAAGTGCTTCCAACGAGTACTGAAGGACCCTGGGGATTACTGAGACTCAGGAGCCCCATAGGGCGGGGCTGACAGAAGCCAAGGCTGTAGGCTCCACCCTGAAACTCCCGCCCCATCAGGGAAGCTGCGAAAATGCCGAGACAAGGAAACATCACAAACGAAAGAAATGGAGGACAAAAAGCGACTGGATATAGAGTTCAAATCTACGCTTATAAGGTTTTTCAAGAATTTCTTAGAAAAGGTTGATAAGACCTATGAGGATATGAAAAGGGATCAACTAGAAATAATAAGGAATCAAGAAGAAATAATAAGGGATCAACAAGAAATAAAGAATACAGTGTCTGAAATAAAAAATATTATATAGAGTCCTAAAAACAGAATGGAAGATCGCAAGAATCAAGTCAAAGATTTGGAACATAAAGAGCCAGAAGACACTCCTCCGCAGAAGCAAGAAGGCAAGAGAATCCAGAAAATTGAAGATAATGTAAGAAACCTCTGGGACAACTTCAAGAGAACCAACATCAGAATTATGGGGGTCCCAGAAGATGAGAGAGAGCAAGATATCAAAAACATACTGAAAGAAATAGTGACAGGAAACTTCCCCCACCTGGTGAAAGAATTAGACTTACAAGTCCAGGAAGTGCACAGAACTCCAAACAAAAGGAATCCAAAGAGGATCACACCAAGATAAATCATAATTAAAATTCCAAGAGAAAAAGACAAAGAGAGAATATTAAAAGCAGCAAGAGCAAAGCAGGTAGTTACCTATAAAGGAGCACCTATATGATTGTCAGCTGATTTCTCAACCATGCAGGCCAGACGGGAATGGCAAGAAATATTCAAGGTGATGAATAGTAAGAACCTACAGCCAAAAATAATCTACCCAGCAAAGCTATCACTCAGAATCGAAGGCCAGATAAAGAGCTTCACTAATAAAAAAAAGCTAAAGGAGTTCATCACCACCAACCAGAATTATATGAATTGCTGAAGGGGGTTCTTTTGGAAGAGAAATTAAATAAAGATAAAAATTATGAACAACAAATATGTAACTATCAACAAGTGAATCTAAAAACCAAGGAAATTAAAAAAAATCTGATGAACAATATTAATGTTGAATATAATAGAATCAGAGGTATGGAAGGGGAGTGAACTGAGGATTCTTGGGGAAAAGAGGAGAGGAGGATGTGGAAAGAGACTGAACAAACTGTGCACCTATGGTTGAGGACAATGGGGGGTGGGGAAAGGTCAGAGGGTGGGGTGGGAACCTGGTGGAGGAGAGCAATGGAGGGGGGGGGGGCAAAGAGGAACATTTGTAATAATATGAACAATAAAAATTTATTTTAAAAAATAAATAAATAAAATAAAATAAAATATATAAAATAGCCTCTCTTGGGGGAGTATCTTATTTCAACGTGCTTTTCTGATATTTTGCTAACTGAAAGGAGGGTATCATTGCAACTGGATTGTCACTTTGAGATGTCAATATTTAAGAGTATTTGGGTTACAACGAAATCAATGTCTAGTTATTTATCACTTAACAAATAACTCCATTAAAAGGATTCACTTAATCTTCACTGCTCTGTTGCCTCCCAGATCTACAAATTCATCGTGTATACTTGAGTGACAGCAAAGACAACAAAAGGATGGATTATCGTATTTTCCGGCGTATAAGACGACTTTTGAAACGGAAAAAAAAAAGTCAATCGAAAATCGGGGGTCGTCTTATACGCCGAGTATATGTTCTCTTTTGGATTTCTTGTTTCTCGGTCAAGTTCATGGCATTGCCATTTGTGAAGAGACCTTCCATTTATCGTATCAATGTACAGTACATTACGGTATGTTCGAAAAATGTCATTCATTAAAAATTTAATTAAAAAAAACTGGTGTTGCCTTGGAAGTGGGGGGTAGTCTTATACAGCAAATATAGACCTAAACCTATGTTTTAACTGTAAAATTAGGGGGTTGTCTTATACGCCGGAAAATACAGTACAAACCTATTTTTTATGTTCCTTAAAATAAAGTTCAAATGAATAACAGAAAAAAAAATTATTAGACTTAATAAATGAATTCGGCAATGTAGCAAAATTAATGCTAAGAAATCTGTGGCATTTTTATACAGCAATAGTGAACTTACAGAAAGAGAGATTAAAAAAAAATTTCATTTACCATTGCACCAAAAAAATTAAGATACCTAGGAATAAACTTAACTAAGGAGGTAAAAGACCTGTACTCAGAAAATGACAGGACATTTATAAAAGAGACAGAGAAAGACATAAACAGATGGAAGAACATACTGTGTTATGGATTGGTAGAATCCACATTAAAATGCCCATACTACCCAAAGCAATCTATATTTAACATTCAATATCTTACTCAATATTCCTCACAATTATCTTAGACTTACTTACCTAATGGTTATCTCTAAACTTTCTTTGAGGCATAGAAAAGTGAAGTGTGTTACAGTAGAAAGAACATGAATTCTGAAGTCAGAAACCCATGGAATTGGGTTTAGGTCCTTGAAAATCACTTAACCTCTTTGAATTATGGGTTATTATGATGTTTAACATATTTTATGACATACATTCTTTTCCATGGAAAGTTCTAATAAGACTAGCTGTACAGTATACTGCAATTATTGACTACGTGAATGTAACTGAATTCATCCTTTTTTTAAAAAAATATATTTTATTGATTTTTTACAGAGAGGAAGAGAGAGGGATAGAGAGTTAGAAACATCAATGAGAGAGAATCATCGATCAGCTGCTTCTTGCACACCCCCTACTGGGGATGTGCCTGCAACCAAGGTACATGCCCTTGACTGGAATCGAACCTGGGACCTTTCAGTCTGCAGACCGATGCTCCTCTATCCACTGAGCCAAACTGGTTTCGGCTGAATTCATCCTTAAGGAAGGCTTCCATGTTTCTATAGATCAGGTGCTATTTAATTGCTACTGATTTGAAGAAAAGTTACGGGGAAAGAGGGAAGATCCTCTTATTTGATGAAGGCTTTTACAGATGAAAATACTTGGTTTATCACTATCTGGGTATTATGATAAAAGAGAAATTATAAAAGCACTTTCCAAATCTTGTGAATTACCATTCCTACCTCTAAGTAAAAAAATAAAAAACTACCAGAAAACTCCCTTCCCTAACATGGCCATATGTCCATAAGTTCAACTTGTGCTGAGACTAAATAAGGGGTAACATTAAGCATGTACTGTGACCACTGAGAATATAAACTTAGAAAAAAAAAAAATACAGCACTTATCTTCAACAGTTAGATCAAGTATAATTCCCTTCTAAGGGAAGTGGGAGTGCCTCTCCATTCTATACCAGTTAGGCCATCACTGGTGTGTAGAGTTCACTCTAGGCACAACACTGTAAATTGAAATGGATCAAAAAGAGAGTTCAAGTTGATGAGCTTATAAACTATCCAATCTCAGAAATATCTAAAGAAAAAAATATTTAGAGAAACAAGTGTATCAAGAGCTATCTGAAAAGGTTTCATATGAAACAAGACACAAATTTGAGATCAGGTTGGGTGTTTCCCTGAACACTAAAAGTTTGCGGATTGGATTCCTGGGTTGCCAGCTCCATCCCCAGTAGGGGGCATATAGGAGGTAGCGGAACAATGTTTCACTCTCAAATCTATATTTCTCTTTCTTTCTTTCCTCTCTAAAAATAAAAAAAATAAAAAAATAAAAAGAGCTCTAGCTGGTTTGGCTCAGTAGATAGAGCATCAGCCTGAGGACTAAAGTGTCCCTGGTTTGATTCTGTCAAGGGCACATGCCCAGGTGGTGGGCTCAATCCCCAGTGGGGAGCATGCAGGAGGCAGCTGATCAATGATTCTCTCTCTCTTCTTTCCTTTCAATAAAAATATATTAAAAACAAAAACAAAATTTGAGCCAATGGAAAGATACTGGGGAAAGCAGATTTCAGCTCAAAATTTAAAAAGAAAAAGAACATATTTAGCCAATAAGGTTATCATAAGCAGAAGGAAGGTGCTCCTTTGAGAGGTTATAATCTCCCTGGCTCTGGAAGAATTTGAGGGATAGATGAGTTTTTTAGGGGATGGTTTTAAGGTGAGTCCTGAGTCAGGTGTGAGATTGAATTTGATGACTTCTGATACCAAGATTCTAACTTTCTATGGCTTTTTACCTTCCTGCCATCTGATATTTAGTATTAAGACAACTGGCTGAATCTTAACCAAAATAACTTCTAGATGGGATATAACATAGTAAAGGGTGACACTGAAATCTTTACATATTGGGAAGATGTTAAGCTCATGTTGGTAGATAGAAGTTTTTCAAAATTCTAATTTGTACCTGAAAGTTTAAATTTACCATTCACAACAAATGTTTACAGGCTGTCAACAAATGTTTATAGTGCCCAGCTCACTTAATTTTGGAGAAAGTGTCTGCAAAATATCCAAGTCAGTTGTTTTTTTTTAAGTAAAGATGATGTTCCATGAAAAAAGTGGCACTTCAACTTGCAACTCAAACAATCAATAGTGGGGGTTGCCAGAGGGAAGGGGGTGGAGGGAAGGGGGTCCTAATATATGGTGATAGGAAATATTTGATTTTGGGTGGTGGGCACACGGTGCAATATACAGATCTTATAACATAGAAACCCACAACTGAAACCTATAAGTTCCACCCCAATAAATTTAATAAATATCTATTTAAAAATAATCAAACAAGTTATTTTTCTGAGATAACCATTACACTTGGATATGTTAAAGATAAAAAATAAACTCACAGAGGTTAAAAGACTTGCCAAAGAACAGATAGCTAAAGCTAAGATTTGAATCTGGATCTTTTAGTCTCCAAAGTCCATGCTCTTTCACTATACTACCCTGAAAGCAATTACAAAACAGGGACATATTCCTCGAGTAAAGAAAGGAAGATAAAGAGCCAAACATGCCTAATTATAATAATGAAGGACATCAGGGTACTGCTGATTTATAGGTTTCTCCAATAATCCTTAGTTAGGAGTCTTAGTTGCCAAAAAGAATTCTTTATCAGATCTCTCTTCTATGCAGCAAGAATACTGTATATGGAACTGAAAACAGATTCATAAAATGTAAGTAAGCCCAGTGTGTGTGTGTGTGTGTATCTGTATCTGCATGACATAGAACATAAACCATGTAAAAGAAAAAACGAACATGGGAAAATCCATTTAGTTTATCAGTTTCTGGACTGAGATCTTGTTTTCATTCATAGCAGTGTATCATTGGTCTTGGCATAGTAATTTAGAGGATGTGTTCTTTATTAGCTTTGCTCAACTTGGCTGGGTTCAGCTATGTGCTGCCAGCTGGGCTGATGCCAAGGCTGAAACTCTATTCCCCTAAATTCCAGTTCATCTAATAAAGCATGGGTTGCCTTCTGCTCCTGTCTAACTCAGTTAACACTTGCAGTTCTCTACATCTAGCTCCTTCTTTCCCTCTTAACCCTTATTCCTACGGCATGAATAGAGCACCTCTGCAATTATAAAGACATTTCATGTTTTCCTGGGGTCTTCTTAGGCTGATAAATCTATACAGACTGGAGAAAAACAAAAGGATAATAAAATCATGCATGATGGTACCATAAACCAACTTCAAAAAGCTCAAGTTACTGAAAATCAAAAGGGTGTCTGACTAGCTGTCTAGGGCAATAGCTAAGAGGATTCAAGCAATTTTAGCAAGTAGGGGCTATATCTTTTCAGATGCCTAAGCTACTCATGAAGGTGGCATGAAAGCACATTGTGAGGAAGCACCTGCTAGTCAGCCATGTCAAATGAACACAGTCAGCTTTCTGTAGCGTAAGACAATGAATCTTAAAATCTTACAAACTCCTGCCAAAACCGGTTTGGCTCAATGGATAGAGCGCAGGCCTGCGGACTGAAGGGTCCCGGGTTTGATTCCGGTCAAGGGCATGTACATTGGTTGCGGGCACATCTCTGGTGGGGATTGTGCAGGAGGCAACTGATTGATGATTCTCTCTCATCGATGTTTCTAACTCTCTATCTCTCTCTCTTCCTCTCTGTAAAAAATCAATAAAATATATTAAATAAATAAATAAAATCTTACAAACTCCTGCCTTTTTGCCATATCACCCACTTATGATCTTAATTTTCTTTGCTTTAAGAATTTGCCAAGTTTCCCTCATCTTCTTGATATAAATGAATATTTGGTTTTCTTTTCTAGTCATTATTGATATTAAGAAATTTTCATTTATAACTGTGACTAGAGGCCCAGTGCACGAATTCATGCACCAGTGGGGTTCCTTGGCCTGGCCTGCAGGATCAGGCTGAAACCAGCTCTCTGACATCCCCGAGGAGTCCCGGATTACGAGAGGGCACAGGCCAGGCCAAAGGACCCCACAATCGGGGCTGGGGAGGGACATGGAAGGGCTCCAGGGCATGTCCAGCCCATCTCGCTCAGTCCCAATTGCTGGACTCCAGCAGCAAGCTAACCTACTGGTTGAAGTGTCTGCCCTTCTGGTGATCAGTGCATGTCATAAAGACTGGTGAACCAGATGACTGTCTAGCACCTGGTGGTCAATGCATGTCATAGCGAGCAGTTGAGTGCCCTTAGCATACCATTAGCATATTAAGCTTTGATTGGTTGAACGGACAACTAGACGACTGGACACTTAGCATATTAGGCTTTTATTACGTAGGATATTTCCTCAAAAAAGTCATATACTTATTTAAAATGGAGGACTTTGCAAATTGATATGTATTGGTACTGGCGTAAAATTAGTGTTATAATAAGAGCTTGCCAAAGAAAACTACATGAATCTAAGTATTCCCAAGAAAGCAACAGGTGTGGTTGGTCAAATATATGAACTGCCTAAATTACTTCTCGCTATTCCAGGAAGTTTGAGAGATGCCAATTGTTTCATTACATATGCCAAAAAATTACTACCATTCTCAGGTATCTGTGGTTAGTGAGGGCAGGAAAGAGAACTGTAAACTCTAAAGGGTCAGCCTAAGAAAGTTGGAAGGGAGGCACGGAACAAGATTGTTTTGTCCCTTCGGAAGATATAATTAGAATCAGTAAGAGAATTCAGATCCCCTGTTTCATAATCTAGTGCCGCTCATTTTAATTTCTCATATTCCTATTTCTATTTGTGTACAACAAGCATACAATAAGAGGAAAATCAATAATAGGAGTTCTGGTTCACTGCACAAACCTCATCTCATATATTTTTCCTGACCAAAATAGTACTTAAAATGCCTGTGTGTATGTAGTTCCCTTTTCCTAGATGTCTAGGCATCTTAATGCAGATAAAACTAACATATAGTAGACATCCACTATGTGCTACATGGTGCTATGCATTTGCACACCCATTTTTATTTAAATCACTCAATCAATCTGGAAAGAAGGCTCTTCTTTATCACCTACACTAAGCCTAACACTGCTAACACAAGGTTGCTCTACAATTGTTGGATAGGTGGATAAAGGCCAGAGTTTCCATCTGATTAGAGTAACCATGTGATTAGAATACAAGGCCATAACTGAAATAAGGACATCTAATACTTTATTTTTCATATGTGATGGGAAGGGGATAGTTCTGGGCAAATGGGGAAGTATTTTGGACTTATGCTCCTGACACTTCACAGGTAAGACCCCTTACATGGGCTGATCTGCCACCTAATATAGTCACCAATAACATCAAACACCTTGGTCATCCAGGAGGACCATTGGAGGGGCAAGAAAGTATAATTCCACAGGGGTCTCCACCCAGCTTCCCTTTTGTATGACACAAAATCAAAACACTGCCCCTTTGTATATAAAGTTAAAGAGAGGTTTCTGGCTTGTGTGGACACCAAAGAAAGGGTCTCACTACTATCACTACTAGCCCCTGGGAGAGGTGCAGAAAATGTAACTAAGACCTGGTGTATAGAAAAAGAAATGGACAGCCAGTATGAAATGGAATTGCCATGGCACAGAACAAAGAATATCCTTACATGATATTATTCTACAATGCCATTCAAAATTTTCCCAGATTTGTGCTACCCCAATTACTTATAATAGTACATCAAACTCTTGGGGATCAATAAAAAATCATCTTTTTGGTGATTGTAGACAAAGATAACACATCGCTTGATATTCTAGAATTACAACAGCATAATATACAATTATCCCAAGCAAACTTACAAATTAACTCTTTGAATGTCTGTCAGCAATTTAAAAAGAACATGAAAGGATTTAATCCCTTCCATTGTATAGAGGACCTCCTGGGAAGGCACCTGAGCATTCTATATTGGCCCCTCTTGCTCTTTTGGCCAAGAGGGACCCTCTTCTCACAATCCAATTGCCCACAGCTGCTGCCTGAGCTTTCTGTTCATGTCGAGGTTGAAGCTTCGTGATGACTGGTACCATGGATCTGTCTCTCACCCAGTGGGGCGAGGTGGGCCCTCCCTGGAGAAGAAACCCGGGATCCCCAAGATATGTGATCAGTTCTGGGGACCTGCCACCAGGCTAGGGGATCGTATGGCAGGAGTTGGATGTGGAGGCCACAGGCCATAGGATACCAAGGAGACGGAACTGAACCTCACATCACCCTGCTTGGCCCCAGAGGATGGCTGGTTAGCCAGAGATGGGTAAGATTCCTCAGGGAAGGAACAAACTAAGAGAGGCACAGTCAAAGAGGGGCCATCAAGAGAGAACTTAGGGGTCAACTGAGATGGGGCACAAACCCTCACCCCTGCTGAGGGAGTCTCCTGCCCCCATGGCTGCTTAACTTCTCATGTCCAGCTCAAATCGGGACCTGGGTAAAAGACAGAGACTTGGCTGACAGCAGCTGCCCTCTCACTACAAGACTTTTTTGAGTTGTCTTGTACCCATGGTGTGGGGAAGCGGGTTTATGATATCTAAATCCAGCCTACCACCAGGAATGCTCAGGGCCTACTCAAGAAGGCAAATAATCCTTTCCACTAATATTTACACGGTAATAAATTTGACAGTAAAATAGTAGACAAGTTTTCAGGCTAATTTAAATTGGCTAATTGAAATAAGCAAATATTCTAGAAAAATTAATTGCACTGGAAAAAAAGCTGTTCCTAAAGTGTTAACTAAAATTTTTATTGGTAGTTCATCTCATGATAAAATCTCAGAACAGGAAATTAACCTAAAGCAGTCATATTATAGTGCAAAAAAATAAAATTTAAAAGCTATCACTACTACATTGTAAAATTTTCAAAAGCCCCCTAATATTTAAATAAAAAAGGGGGAAGTAGAAGAATATGTAAGGAAAAATATCTGTAAGTAAATTACATCTAGAAAATTTGTACTTTAGAAAATTAATTGTAATGCTATCAGCAAGACACCATGAAAAACACACATGGTGTCAAAACAAGCCAGAGGAAAATCATTTGGGCAAAAAATAAAAAAGGATCCAAGTTAAATTTATAGAAAATATTCCTTTATTAACTTTTGGAGGAGAATATGTTTGTATATTTTCAGAAAACAACTCTGAGACCATGTGGGTTCCGGCAACAGAGAAAAATTGACAGGACTACTCCAACCATGATGACAGAAGAGAAGCAGTCCAGAGATGGAAGACGCTAATGACGCCTTGCTATAATAGCAGTCAGCAGCTGTGTATCACTGCAGGTTGCCGAGGACCAAACCTGCATTACCACCATTTGCCCACCATCCAGAACTGAAATATCATTGCTGACATAAACACATAAGGAACTGTTTGACATTGAATTTGAATCTAAAAAGAACTGTTGGCCCAGAAAGAAACTCACTACAGACTGATTCATATGCCTTCCAGCATAACCATTATTGCTTGTCTCATTTTCGACTCTTATAAGTATATTTCCAGAAGAACATGATCTTACTCATCTAGGGGAAATGGTGAACAACATAGACTGATGAACAGGAACAGACCCAGAGATAAGGAGTCATGGGTCAGACTGTTGGACCTGAAAGGGAGGGTGGGGATAAAAGGGAGAGATCAACCAAAGGACCTGTGTGCATACATATGAGCCTAACCAGTGGTCAAGCACAATTGGGGGGGGGGGGGGATGAGTGGCGAGAGGTTGGGGATTGGAAGGGGGGTTGAGGACAAATATGTGATACCTTAATCAATAAAGAAATTAAACACACACACACACACACCAACTCTCCCCCCCCCCCCCACACACACACAAATTTGGCCTGCAATTCCACTAATTAAAGCCCATTCAATGGCTCTCATTGTTCTTGGGGTAAAGACCTAGATCCTTAAAATGATATAAAAGGAAGCTGTGCATTTCCTGTGCCTTCCTCCCTAGGCTTTTCTCTTTCCACTCCCCTCCTTACACCCTACATTTAAACTTTTTTTTGAGTTCCTCAATTGCATTTAAAAAAAATCTCAGGCCTCTACTCATCTGTTTCCTCTGCTAAATAGAATTCTCTCTCCCTCCCCATTCTTCAGGTTCCAGCTTCAGGCTGACTGGAAGTCATCACTGTTTACCATGCCCTAGTGATTCCCTAAGTCCCCACCCCACCCAACTTACAAACCCACCTGATCTGTGCACAACGGCTTTTGCAGATGAATGGCCTGCCTTTTCCCAGCTTAGCCTAACAAATTGCAGCTGGGTCAGAGAGCTCCAAAACTTCCAAACCCCAAACAAAGAGGAGAAATCTGCAGATCTTGCTGTAGCTCCTGCTGGGTGGCCTTAGATAGTAGCTGACTTGCACCTCCTTGGAGATCAGGAGCCAGTATACCTAGTGGTCAGTGTGAGACAATACCAGATTTCAACTCTCACATATATAAGTGACATATTCAAGAGGCAGACTCAGTGAGCACCAAAGCCCCACTGAAGCAAGTCCTGCCCCATAAAGTTGTCTCCAGAACAGCAGTTCTTCCATTATAGACACAGATGATCCTCAGAGCCAATTGGCCTGGAGGTCAATTCCTCCCAGTGTACCAACAGCAATCAAAGCTTAACTACAACAAGACTGTGCACCCAGCCACAAAGGGGTGCACCAAGAGTGTCCATCTCAGGTAATTGGGGAGGCTGAGCCACTGAGCCCTATAGGTCACCTACCACACAAAGCCACTCCATCAACACAGGGAAGCAGCCAAAATGTAGAGACAAAGAAACATGTCACGAATGAAAGAAATGGAGGAAAGCAAACTACTGGCTATAGAGTAACTACAGTTATAAGGTTACTCAAGAATCTTCTAGAAACCGCCTAGAAACTTAGTGAGACCTTCAAGGATCTTAATGAGAATGTAAAAAAAAAAAAAAAAAGGAAAAGAACCAGTCAGAAATTAAGCATACAATATCTGAAATAAAGAATAACATTCAGAAATCCAACAGTAGACAAGAGGACCCCAAGAATCAAACCAAAGCTTTGAAATATGAGGAAGCAAAAAACACCCAACCAGAAAAACAAAAAGAAAAAAGAATCCAAAAATATGAATATAGTGTAAGGAGCCTCTGGGACAACTTCAAGCATACCAACATCTGAATTATGGGGGTGCCAGAAGAAGAGAGAGAGCAAAATATTGAAAACCTATTAGAAGAAATATTGACAGAAAAATTTCCCTACCTAGTGAAAGAAATAGACTTATAAGTCCAGGAAGCACAGAGAACCCCAAACAAAAGGAATCCAAAGAGGATCACACCAAGACGTATCATAATTAAAATGCCAAGGGCAAAAGACATCTAGAAAGTAGCCAGAGAAAAAGTTTCCTACAAGAGAGTACCCATACTACTGTCAGCAGATTTCTCAACAGAAACTATGCAGGCCAGAAGGGAGTGGCAAGAAATATTCAAAGTGATTAACGGCAAGAACCTACAACCAAGATTACTCTACCCAGCAAAGCTATCATTTAGAATTAAAGGTCAGATAAAGAGCTTCACAGACAAGAAAAAGCTAAAGGAGTTCATTAGCACCAAACCAGGATTATATGAAATGCTGAAGGGTATTCTTTAAGAAGAGGAAGAAGAAGAAAAAGGTAAAGATAAAAATTATGAACAACAAAGTGAAAACAAATACATATCTAAAAATCAAGTCAATAAAAAATCTGATGAACAGAACAAACTGGTGAATATAATAGAATCAGGAGCATAGAAAGGGAGTGGACTGACAATTCTCGGGAGGAAGGGGGTGTGAGGGATGCAGAAAGAGACTGGACAAAAATCTTACACCTATGGATAAGGACAGTGGTGAGGGGTAAGGGCATGGGGTGGGGTGGGGTGGGGGAATCAGGTGGAGGGGAGCTATGGGGGGGGGGGGGAAGAAAGGAGGAACATCTGTAATAATCTGAATAAAGAATTATTTTTTTAAAAAAGAAAAAATATATAACTATGGAAGTAGCTTGCATCTCATGTCCTCTTACTGTTGTAAAATTACACAGGAAGCTAAACTAAAATATGAAACTGACTTGCCCAGCTTGAAATCAGAGCAAGGGATGTTAAGTGGATTATTATGAGGGCTAAAGGCCTGATTAGTATTAATGACTATGCCAAATACACTGAATTTTTTATTTGGTTTCTTAAATTTAAAAAGTAATGCATAGTTCTGTTTTCAATTTTAAGTCACAGAAACAAAAAGTGTTGAGCTAAGAAAATAAAAAAAGGTTCTGCCTTTTATAACTAAATACCTGGATTAGTTGCAAGCTTGGTATTTGCTATCCATCAAGGTTGGCTTGGCCCCAGGAGTTTAGGAGCTAAAAAGGATCTGGCTTAGCAAAGGAGAAACAGCTGGCATGCAGGAGTCCTCTTAGAGGGGCAGAGCCCTATATGAGTAGAGGGTAGAACTAGCTGGTAGGTGTGGTGAGGGGTCTGAAATCAAGTAGGAGACAGTCACAGGCGTCAACTGTTATCCCCAAGATCAGAAAACTATACAGCATTACTGGGGTGGAGGGGCCCTTAGGGATCATCTAGTTCAGGGGTAGGGGGCCTTTTTTCTATCAAGGGCCATTTGGATATTTATAACATTATTTGATTAATATAATTCACTTAATTTAAATCTATGTTGCTATGAAAAAAGCTCCTAGATTTATTGAATTTTGAGTCCTGCCTGGGGTTGCCTTGGCAGGGCCAGACCAAATGATTTTGTAGGCCTTATACGGCCCAAGTGCAGACTGGACATTACCCACCTGATCTAGTTCAACCTCTCACATTTTATTTATTTATTTATTTTAATATATTTTATTGATATTTTACAGAGAGGAAGGGAGAGAGAGAGAGAGCTAGAAACGTCGATGAGAGAGAAACATCGACCAGCTGCCTCTTGCACACCCCCTACCGGGGATGTGCCCGCAACCAATGTACATGCCCTTGACGGGAATCGAACCTGGGACCTTTCAGTCCGCAGACAGACGCTCTGCCACTGAGCCAAACCGGTTTCGGCTCAACCTCTCACATTTTAGAATGACTTGCTCTAATCCTAGTTGGGATTAGACCCCAGTTCAATGTTCTGACACTGCTTCTTTCTTATTTCATATCAGGGATCTGGAAGCCAAAATCCAGAGTCTCAAATGAAGCTTTAAGGAGAGCCCAGAAGAGAATGGGGAGAATAGAGGAGAGATGTGTGAAGGCAATATGGTTCAAAGTGACAGCCCTGACAGCTAGTTCTACTGAAAGATCTCCAAGGCCTCCCTCTCTAGACTGGGATATCAACAAAATCAAGTCACTTAATCCTCTGAACTTCGCTTTTCTCATAAATAAAATATAACTGAAAATAATTATTTCTAGTTCAGAGTTACCAGGAAGATAAAATGAAATGCGTATAAAAGAACATTAAATACTAGTATTTTCCCTACTTATTGCAAGCAAGAAACAATCTCATTACTTTCCATTTTTTTCACATTTGCACACTAATGACCAGAAGGCAAAAAAGAAGAGATCCTAAGATTACAGAGAACAGGCTTACACATACAGAAAACATCTTGCTTTGTGAAATGAATTGAGTAACCACATTTTTTCCACATTGTCTCACTTGCTCCTTAGCCAGGACACTGAGATGGCTGAAGTTCTTCTATTTCTGAAAGTTACATTACAGAACCTACTAAGAGTCTGGAGTGGTGAAGGAGGGAGTGTTGGAGGAAACACCTGGTGCTGGAATGATGACTGAAGGATGTGGTATGAAAATGCCAACTGGAAGGTCTTTCTCTACCTTCTGAGCCTGGTCATCTCTATTAAAAATCTAAGGTCTCCAGAGATACACAGAATTGGAGAGGAAAATAGTTCAGCAAATACCTCTGGAGGCAGCAACCACATAGTGAGTCATGTTGCTTATCAGCGTGGTGTGTAGTCAGAAAGGAATGCATGTCCAGCAATTCTTGGACACAAATTCTCAGCTCTTCTGGCTCCTGAGAACTCTCTAACTGCTGTAAGAGATTTATTGATCAACATAACAGAGTTCTCTAGGCAAGAAAGGGAGAAAATAAACCTAACTGAATATAGTCTGGATCAATAAGGCTTATCCTGTTTTAGTCTCAGTTAAACAAAAATGGCTCCACTACCACTTCCAAGGCACTTCTCTTCTTGCTGCTTCCATACCTACTTTCATTTGACATTTTTATTCCTATTGTTAATTACTCACAGGTAGACTTTGTGTGTGTTTGTTTTTTTACCTAAGTTACTGGCTCTTGCTCCTCCTCTGCCTACTAGTGAGGTTTATTGGTGGAGAAATACTAACCATAAGAGATCTAGGTAATCTCTATCATCATTTTGGGTCCTGATTTCAAGAGCTCAAAGATGGGCCTTTACCTTTAGTGCCAGGAGGCTGTAGGTTGTCTCCAGTCAAGGAACACCAGCCTACAGGGAAGATGTCCCGGGAGTCGAAGCGGCACCAGTAGTCAAAGGCCCCTCGCCACCCATCAAAAGTGACAAGCACCTCTGAGCCCCGCACCTCCCCTATAGTGGCTGGGCAAATGAAATGAGGGTTCTTCCTGTCCACAGCTTCTAGCTTCATTCCCATTTTGAAGAAGTTGTGGGAAGGCGATGGTGGTTCCTAGATGAGAAACAGAAATATATAGACCTAGACACAGAGAGAGAGGCTATGTACGCCAAAAGACTGCTACCTCATTTGGATGATAAAAAAGGGACTATTATGTAAGAGTTAAAATGAAGATTTAGTCTTTCTTTTAAATGAATTAAAAAAAATACTAAATATTTGTAATCCTAACACTGTGACATTTGCTTCAGTATTTTTAAAAAAGTAAAAGGTAACAGGTAAAGTTGAACTTCCTTTTGTGCCCTTCCCCTATCTCACTCCCCATGGCTGTACATATCCATTTACATATTTTAAACTTTATATAAGTAGTATTAACTGAATATATCATTCTATAACTTGTTTTTTGTTCAACATGTTTTTGAAATTTATCTAGTTCATTTTAACTAATAGAAGATATTATATAAGATATTATATGCATATGTCACAATTTATTTATTCTTTTGGTAGACATTTAAGGTTTTTCCAGCTGTTCAAAAGTTTAAAATTTTTTTTTCTTATTTTTATTGATTTCAGAGAGGAAGGGAGAGGGAGAGATAAAAACATCAATGATGAGAAGGAATCATTGATTGGCTGCCTCTTGCACACCCCTACTGGGATCAAGCCTGCTACCCAGGCATGTGTCCTTGATCTGAATCAAGCCCGGCACCCTTCAGTCTGCAGACTGATGCTCTATCCATTGAGCCAGACTGGCCAGGGCTGTTCAAAAGTTTTAATGACCATTCTTGCATTCGTTTCTTAGTATGGGGAGGTTTCTTTAGGATATATATACCTAGGAGTAAAATTGCATTATAGGATAAATATACACATCTTCTACTTTATTAAATATTGCTATATTGCCTTCCAAAGTAGTTTTAACATTGTATACTCTCTCTAGCAGTGTTCTCTTCTCCTCTCCCACTCTCTCATGCTAATTCACAATTTAATTGCTTAGATAAATTTCACAAAATAAGTGTTACATTCTATTCTGTTACCCTGGCTTTACTGTCTGATCCTACACAAATAAGAAAAAAATCCCCTTATTTTGTCATTCTTCAATATTGTTTTGGCTATTCTTTCTCCTTGGTCTTTTTATTTTTATTTTTAAATTTTTATTGTTGACACTATTGCAGATGTCTCCCGTTTGCCCCTCTCTTTGCTTAACTCCTCTCAGACCCCGCCCTCTCCTCTCTCTGGTCCTCACCACATTGTTGTCTGTGTCCATGGACTATGGATATATATGTTCTCTGGTTCTTCTCTTCACCTTTTGTATGAATTTTAGAATCAGCTTTTCAAGTTCCACATAAGAACCCTATTTGGATTTTGACTATAATCCCAATAAATTTATAGATTAATTTGGGAAAAAGTAACTTTTGTATGTATAATTTGAACTCTCCCATCTATGAACATGATAGCATTTTCCACTGGTTAAGTATTCTTTAATATAGATTTCTTCTTTAATATACAATTTTAAATTTACTCTATAAAAACTCTTGATTTTTACTAACATTTTCTAAATGCATTTAACTTTATTGCCATAATAAATTATATTTAAAAATTAAAAAATATATATATATTTTATTTATTTTTTACAGAGAGGAGGGAAAAGGGTTAGAGAGTTAGAAACATCGATCAGCTGCCTCCTGCACACTCCCTACTGGGGATATGCCTGCAACCGAGGTACATACCCTTGACCAGAATTGAACCTGGGACCCTTTAGTATGCAGGCTGACACTCTATCTACTGAGCCAAACAGGTTAAAGTTAAAACTTTTATTTTCAAACCATTTGTTAAGTAAGAATGCAACTGAGCCGAAACCAGTTTGGCTCAGTGGATAGAGCATCGGCTTGGGGACTGAAGGGACCCGGGTTCGATACCTTGGTTGCAGGCATATCCCCAGTTGGGGGGGGGTGCAAGAGGCAGCTGATTGATGACTCTCTCATCGATGTTTCTAGCTCTCTATCTCTCTCCCTTCCTCTCTGTACAAAATCAATAAAATATATTTAAAAAAAAGAAAAAGAATGCAACTGATTTTTTACAAATTGATCAACTAATTTAATTCAGATTAGCTTATGATGACTGATACAATTTTTCTGTCTGCTTGATTTATTGATTATTCAGAGGTATATATTAAATTATCCACTAGTGATTGTGGATTTTCCATGTAATTCTGTCAAATTTTGCTTTATATACTTTGAGGTTGTGTTCTTTAAGAGCATCATATTTATAACTTTCATTTTTCTTGGTAAACTGTACTTTTTTTGTTTTGTTTTGTTTTATTAATCCTCACCAGAGGATTTTTCCCATTGCTTTTCAGAGAGAGTGGAAAGGAGAAGGGAGGCAGGGATGGGGGAGAAAGAGAGGGAGAGGGAGAGGGAGAGAGAGACAGAGAGTGAGGGACAGAGACATCAAATGGTTGCCTCCTGCATGAGCCCAGACCAGGATTGAGGAGAGAACCCACAATCCAGGTATATGTCCTGTGTCCCTGAGGGGGAATCAAACCTGAGACTTTGGTGTGTGGACTGATGCCCCAACCACTGAGCAACACCGGCCATGGATGAACCGCACTTTTAAAAAATCATTAGATAGTGACTTCTAAATGCTTTTTAGTCTCAAAGTCTCCTTTGTCTGATTTCAGTATAGTTAACACCAGCTTTTTACAGCTGATGTTAACTATAAAAATAGTTATACAGCTGATGTTAAATATAAATATATATATATATATATATATATATATATATATATATATATATATTTTTTTTTTTTTTTTAATTGATTTTGGAGAGAGGAAGAGAGAAGGAGAGAGAGAGAAACATTGTTGATTGGCTGCCTGCTGCATGCCCCTCACTGGGGATCAAGCTTGCAACCAGGATAGTGCCTTAACTGGGAATCAAACTGGCAAACTTTCTGAACACAGGACGACACCCAACCGAGGCGCACTGGCCAGGGCAACACCAGCTTTATTTTGATAATGATTTGCCTGGTATATTTTTTATATTCTTTTACTTTCAACATGTATATTAAAAAAAAAATCTAATCTTTTTTTCCGAAACCGGTTTGGTTCAGTGGTAGAGCGTCGATCTGCGGACTGAAAGGTCCCAGTTTTGATTCCGGTCAAGGGCATGTACCTTGGTTGCGGGCACATCCCCGGTAGGGGGTGTGCAAGAGGCAGCTGGTCGATGTTTATTTCTCATCGACGTTTCTAGCTCTCTATCTCTCTCCCTTCCTCTCTGTAAAAAAATCAATAAAATATATTTAAAAAAAAATCTAATCTTTTTGACTAAACTGAGTTTAAGCTCATTTCTTGTGATAACTGATATACTTAAATTTATTGTATTTCCTAGAATTCTATTTTTCTTGATTTTCAAGGTTCTTTTTTCCCTTTACAATTGACTGAATTTTCTTTCCTCCCCCACTCATTGATTCAGATGATAACCATTCTTTTATAATCTTTCAGTGGATCTCCTTAAGACTATAACTGTATAGTTGACATAAGTCAGTCTAAAACTCATCTTTATATCTAGTCATGTTACAAAAACCTTTCACATTGTTATGCTGACAATTAATCACTTTTGTTATTATAATTGGTTTAAACAATTATAGGCAATGGTTGATTAGCTTTACCCACATGTTAACCAGCCTTTCTTCACCACTACTTCTTGCATCTCATTTTTCCTTTCTGGGTTCAATTATCTTCTTCCTGAAATATATTCTTCAGTTGTTCTTTTAGCAGATATGTTGGCATCTACTTACGTTAGTTTGTTTGAAAATGCCTTGCTTTTATATTCATTCTGAAATAATACTCCAACTAGATATGAAATTCTAGATGGACAACTATTTTTCCTAAGAACTTTGGAGATACTACCGTACTTTCCGGCTATATTAGGCCAGCGAATATAGGCCTAAACCTATGCTTTAACTGTAAAATTAGGGGGTCGTATAAGACTTTGGCCAATCTGAGCAGGCTTTTTACTAGAACACAGTGTAGCTTCGGGTACAGAACATGTATAATTTGCATGCATAAAAAGCCTGCTTGGATTGGCTGAGTTAGAGAGGCGGTCTATTAAAAAAAGAACTGGTGTTGCCTCAGAAGTGGGGGGTAGTCTTATACAGCGAATATAGGCCTAAACCTATGTTTTAACTGTAAAATTAGGGGGTCGTCTTATATGGTGGAAAATACGGTATTCTATTATTTTTGTTTTGAACTGCTGCTGTCAAGAAATGTTCTGTCAGCCTAACTGCAATTCTTTGGAAGGAATTCTGTGTATTTGCTCAGATATTTTCTTTTGACTTTAGTTATACCATGATTTTTTTTTTTTTGATGGTTCTGAATTTTTATTGTTGAAAGTATTACACAGGTTCTCATTTTCCCCCCATAAATCTCTTACACCATGATGTTTTAAGCTGTATATTTACCTTTACTATTCACTCTGAAAAATTCCGTCATTATCTTTATAAATATTGGTTCTTTTCTATTCTTTTTTTTTATTTATTACTCTGGATTTCATATTCAACATCAATGGACCTTCGAATATTATTCTCTTTATCTCTTCTCTTTAATATTTCCATTTCTTTATTTGTGATGCAATCTGGGGAAATTCCTTACATGTCTTTCAGTTAATTCTCTTTTATCTATATCTATGTTGCTTATATACATATTATTAATTTTCAATTTTAATGGTTAAGTTTCATTTATAGATGTTCAATTTTTCCCCTCAAATCTGTCTTTGAAAAATAGGGTTTTATACTTTTATCATTTAAAAAATTTCTTCTCTTTGCCCTAGCTGATGTACAGTGGTTAGCATGTACATGCTCCAAAGTATCAAGGGTATGTACCTGGGTTGCCAGTTTGAACCCCCAAACCCATCATGAGGATGTGGGAGGTAACTAATTGATGTGTCTCTCCCACATTGATGTTTCTCTCTCTTTCTCTCCCCCTTCCTTCATCTCCTCTGTCCCTCCCTTCCTCCTTCAATTCCATTCTTTCTGAATAATCAGTGGAAAAAATATCCTCAGGTGAGGATTAATAACAAAATTAAAAATTCTTCTTTTCATTCTTTAATCAGTTTCAAAATTTTAATTTATAATCTCTATCTATCTGGTATTTCTATTCTGAAAGTCCTTGGGGTTATAGTCGTACTGTTTGTTGTGTCTACTGATGTCCCACCACAATGGATTTGTTTTGAGAGTTTTTGAGAGCTCTGTAATTCTGAAGGGAGTACCCATCTTCAGTGGTACTTCACTTTGGGAACTTTTATGACATCTGGGTTGAAAGCAACCAAAGTCTCTAGAGAGGTTTTGGATTTGCTTCTGCTGGGCACTCAGAAATCTCTCCATAACCTCTGGAGTTTCTAGACAACACAGGTACCATATCTGAAGCCTGGATTTCCATGAGGGAAAGACTGTTTTATCAAGGAGATGACTCCATTCCTGCCCTTACCCCAGAGCTCAGGCAGAAACTCTCCTCATCAATGTAACCGTCTTTCACTAAGGAGTGAACATTTGAGGTATCTGATCTGGTTTTATATATGGCAGTCTCGAGTCCATTCCTGGTTTTCATGGGCTCAAAGCCTCATCTTCTATCCTACTGTGGCTGGTAAAAGACAAGATTATTGGAAAGCTCCTTAAAATACCTGCAGGTTTAGTGCATGTATTTAACACTCTAGTTTTCCTCCTTCATTTTAGCTTCTGGAGAATTTTCTTTCATTTTTTATTCTCACTTGAGGATATTTTTCCATTGATTTTTAGAGAGAGTGGGAGAGAGAGAGGGAAAGACATAGATAAATATCAATGTGAGAGAAACACATTGATTGGTTGCCTCTTGCACATGCCCTGACCAGGGTCCGGGCCAAAGAGGAGCCTACAACCGAGGTACATGCTCTAGACCAGAATTGAACCTGGAACCCTTTGGTCCATAGGCCAACACTCTATCCACTGAGCCTAACCGGCTAGGGTGAGTTTTCTTCCTTTTTAGTAAGCTCGACTAAGCATTTAAAAGAACAGATGTCCCCTGCCCCCACCAAACATTTTGAGATAGTCTGTAGTTAAAGAGTTTTTAAGTTGCCAGCCAGAGTGCTTTAGGGTTTAGATTTTAATAGCAGCACAGGCAACACTAATTCAGTACCCTTTATAACTCTAACCTCATTAAGGATAAAGAATTCAACTGAGAGCAGATTGATGCCTCATCCCTGGAGAAATAAGGAAAAATGAATATGGGTTATTGATCCCTTATATAGTGGTTATTTCACCACTTACTAGCCATGTGATCTTGAGCAAGTTCCTTATTCAAAAGTATTTGCTTCCTTAGCTATTAAATGGAAATAATATTTCTGGTTTCAGAAAGTTAAGTGTGGGTATTAAGTGAGATAGTATAAATAAACTCCAAACATATTATAGGCACTCAAAAATTGTCTCATTTCTTTCCCTCTGTTCAGTATATGAACTTTATAAATTCCAAGATCTATAACAAGAACAGCTCCTTTAGATTTATATCACATTTTATATACTTTACTAGTAAACACATTTTAATTTAACTATCCTGTAAGGTAGACAGAATCCCACTTTAGACATGAAGTCAAAAAGACATAGCTTATTATTGGTATAGCTAGGACCCAAAAACCAATAATCATAATTTATAGTCTATATTTACAATTGTCTTCTGGGTATAACTGCTGCTTCGTAAGGTATTAAACAATCCCATCTGCTGAATTAGTTTCTGAGAAGGCATCCTCAGGCCATAAATATAATGTAGATATCAGAGGCTAAGTAATTGAAAGAATATAAGCATATGACCTTGAGCAATTTAGAGTTGGTGATATCTGAGGGACACCGTACCTTGTGGAAAATCCTGATGGGAGCCATTTCAGCTCCATTTAGTGTCTTCAAAAGGAACATGGGCCAAGAGGAGGCATTCAACCGAAATCCTGCAGCAAACATAATAGGCAACAGATAAAAAATATGTTTCAAAGGAAATGGCAATATCAAGTTTTCCCTTTGGAATCCAGTTACTCCTCCATAACCTACACTGTGATATGTTACAGAATCACAGACTGTTAGGAAAGGACTTAAAGGTTAAGTAGAGGAAATGCCTCATTAGACAGATGAGAAAATGAGGCCCATAGAGGGAATGTAATTTGCCCAAGTGTAACGTTGCAAAACAAGTAGTGGAACAAAGTCCCCAACCAAGGGGCCTGACTCCAGGACAAGTATTACAGATTCATAGCACCTAAAAAGTTTTCCTTGAAAAAATCTAAAATAGATGTGAGATAAAATTAACAAATACTTAGAAATGATCTAGACAGTAGAGTGTGAAAGTTTTTCTTCTTAATAATCTCTTAAGAAGAAATCAAGTATGTCAGCTGATAAACTCAGTATACAAGTGAATCTTTTTAGTTTATTTCTATATAAACTAACTCACTATTTTTCTTTTTCTCTCCTCCCTTGTTGTGTGTGCTCTCTCACTTCTCTTTCACACACATACACACCAAGTACAAAACACTTTCTGATCTTCAATTTTACTTAACCAACGAAGGGTCAGTAATGATGAAGATGAAAGGGATCATCCTGTCTAAAGATATTCATTGTACAAAAAAATAAAAAGCCTAGAGAGGTTAATTGTCCATTGTCATTCAGCAAGGAAAAGTCAATAAGAATGTACCATTTAATTAATTATAAAAATAAGATCATTATTGTAGTTAGATCTCCCAATTAGTGGAAAGAAGTTTCAAGTACTCCTTTCAATTTGGCTTCAACTTTCTCCTGAGATATCAAAATCTAGTACTTTTTTCATAGCCTCCCAATCTAACTCAGTTTTCCCATTTCTGATAAAAGCTGCAGAGCTGAACATTACAATAGAATCTGATATTTTTAAACTCTTTATTGTGGGTCAGACACTGTGCCAATCACTTTCCACTGACTATCGAATCCTCAAGGCAACCCAGAGAGGCAGATATTATCTTCATTTTATAGATGAGAAAAGATACATAAAGTAAACTGATTAAGATTTCTAAGTGAGCAAATGACAAAGATAGGATTGAAACCCAGGCAATCTGACCTTTGAGCCCACACTCTTAACCACTATATTCAACAGTGTGTAGATAAAATGAAAAAGGAAGAATCAGCTTTTGGGATTATAATTAAATTATTGGGGAAGAAGCAAGAAGGGAGAAAAAAATAGAACTAATAAGATTTACCACCCTATATGTTTTAAACCTTTAGTCTCAAAGCTGGCTAGGCTAAACCCAGCCTCTAAGGCCAGAAGATAACTTGGGGTAGCTCGATTACACCAACAATGGCGACAGCAATATGGATGCTCCTATCACTTAATCTAAAACTACGATCACTTTTTTTGGCTTGTCTAGCTTCCCTTCCCCCGGTTTTGGGAAAAAAATCCCATCCAAATTCTATGTGATTTGTTGAGAATGTCTGTCACATGGCTCTCTCTGCCTAACTGTGGAATGGAAAATAATTCCATTCAAGAGCATTAGATTCCCCTAGACCAGGGGTGGGGAACATCCAGCCCACAAAATCATTTGGTCTGACTTTGCCAAGGCAACCACAGGTGGGACTTGAAGTTCAGTAAATCTAGGAGCTTTTTTCCATAGCAGCATAATTTTATATTATGGGAATTATATTATAAATATCCAAATGGCCCTTGGCAGAAAAAAGGTTCTTCATCCCTGCCCTAGACCAAGAGTGTGCATATATATTTCAAACTGGTATGCATATATAGTCTTTTTCCATGATCATGGCTAGATAGAGTTTGTAGATTTGGCATTGCTACATGGAGAACAGAGTTGAGAATAAAGCCAAGGTAGAGCAAGTGATGGAGAGGCATGAGAGTGTTTAAAGCCCTGTGTTCAGACATACTCAATTACCTTAGACTTCTGTTATATGAGTCTGTAATTCCTGTCCCCTCCTTCAACTTGGTTTGAGTTAGTTTTTTTCACTCATAGACCAAAGAATCTTCACTACCATTCTTCCTTTATCATGGTTAAAAGAAAAAAAAAATTTTAATTTCCAAAGAAATTCAAGTTCAGGCCCAGTCTATGTGTGGGGAAAACAACCTCAGTGGGTTGTTCTAAGGATTAATACATGTGAAGGACTTAAAATTCTGCTTGGTATATGCTAAATGTTAGACAAATGTTGGCTATTATTTACAATATTATAGATTAAAAGACTGAGGCCAGAGAAATTAAGTAAAATATCTAAGGCTATAATTTTACTAAATATAATATTCAAGAGACAGGATTTAAACCCAACTCCTCTATTTCCAGAGCCTTCATTATTAATCATCACATTAATATCTTCAAATATTTCATCACTCAATTCTTTCATACTATCTCTCTAGGTAAAAAGAATTGAAGTCATTTTTACCTATAGGAAGAAGAAAAATGATAATTTGAAGGTCTCAAATTAAACAGTGGCCTGGGTGCTTGCAAAGAAAAGGACAGATGGGTACCTCAGTGCTTGGTCATTTCACAATCCCTACTTTTCTCCTGTCAAATAATGACTGCCAACTTACATGCCCAGCCTAAACCTCTGTCCCGAGTCTCATGCTCATATTTCCAACTGCTTTATTCTATAACTCTACCTGAAAGCCAAAAGTGCTTGAATTTTTTTTTTTTTTATCTTCCCCTGAGGATATTTTTTTCTATTGATTTTCAGAGAGTGGGAGAGAGAGGGAGAGACAAGAGAGAAACACTGATGTGAGAGACACATCGATTGACTGCCTCCCGCATGCCCCAGGATGAGAGCCAGGAGCCTGCAACCGAGGTATGTAGCCTTAGACTGGAAGCAAACCCAGGACCCTTTAGTCTGCAGGCCAATACTCTATCCACTAAGCCAGACCAGCTAAGGCAAAAACAGAACCCTTGACTTTGCTACTCTCTCCAAACTTGTTCCCTTCCTCATCATCTCATCTCATCTAATGCTCCATTAAACCCAGGTGCTCAGACCAAAAAGCCTACACTAAGTCTATTCTTGATTCCTCTCTTGCTATTACCCCTCAAATACAATTAATTAGCAAGTCTTGATGGCTCTTTCATCTCATATATCCTAAATCAAATAATTTCTCACCGTTATATATTCTCACTCACTACTAGTCACCCTAACCTAAGCCACAGTAACTTTGTATAGACTACTGCAACAGCTTTGTAACAGAGATGCCATTTCCACTTTTGCCTCCCACTGTTTTCCACTTAGAAGGCAAAATATGTTTATGTATTTTAAAATATAAATCAGACCACACTTTTATGCTCACATACCATAATACAAAATAAATCTGAACACTTTATGTATGTTAACAAGATTTACATAATCTGGAACTTGCTTACTTCTTATAACTCATTTCCTATCACTCCTCTGTCCTCCACGCACTGGCCTTTCTATTCCTCATTCCAAGCTACATCCCTCTGCCACGAAACCTTTCCCTTTCCTCAAATCTTTGATAATTAGTACTTGCTGAAATCTCAGCTCCTTAGAAAGGCATTCCTAGACTACCCTATCTAAAATAGCCTTCTAAATCCCACTCCCTTCTATTTATCCTTAACTCTTATCACTGCCTTAAGTTTTATTTTCCCTTGTAATGTGTATGTATTTTCCAATTGGAATATAAGCGTTTTATTGAGTTTTATTGAACAAAGAAAACTTCTCCTTATTAAATGGGTGCCAAGAGTTGATGGATGCTATAAAAATCATGTGTGGTAGAGTTTATTAATGACTTGGCAGGCAAGGCTATTGAAATTCAAGATTAAAAGTCAAGGTAAAGCAACTTATCAATAGCCACAAAACAAAGCTAGTTAAATGGCTGAGTGAATTTTACAAAGCCATATCTCTAATTCTAAACACATGCTGCAAGTGTTCTGTGCTTACCTTAAAAATACTGACATGGAACCAGTCATAAAAGCTTCCAGGTGCTCACCAGATGGTGGTGATGGTGGTGGGATACGGGGGAGGGCTACTAAATATGTTAGGGTCCAGCTGTTTAAACTTAACAGCGACTTCTTGAAGCTCTGGACTTAAATATAAGAGCAACAGGTCCAGAATCTAATCATAGTTCATGCCCTCTGGTGGCAGGTAACAAAATAGCACTCATACCAGGAACCACATATTATGGGCCCAACTGCCCACAGTACCATTGTCCTATATAATAATTTTAAGCTTCGTGAAGTTATTAGACTCTATGGCTGTCAAGATGATTCCATGACACTTCCAACTCATTCTCTCCTCCCAGAGATGATTTACGTACATGTACATATACAAATACATATACAGAAATATGTCACTCATTGTACAACCTCGAACATCTCATTTTTCTTTTCTTATTTCTATATTTGTCAGAGGAGGATATTGAATTAAAACAGTGCTTCCAACCTGGGGTTTGGTGACCTATCTCCATGCTACCTCAAGTCTGAGAGAAACAAGAAAGAACTGGAAGAGAGATGTTGAATAAACTGTCTTTTTTTTTAGGAATAAGTGATTGTACTTGGAAAAGATTGTTAGGCTTTCTTTTACCTCTGATAGGACTCTATCACCACTTTGCTGCTACATCCCCATATACAGACTCAAACACAATTCAGGTTAATTTAATTGGAGGTGGGGGTTGTGACTAATCTTGAGATAGTCATAGGTATAGATGGTCTGGCATTACCCAATGCCAGGGGCTTTGCTGCAGAAAAAAGAAGTTTAGTAAATATTGTAAAAATTAACTTTATAAATAAGCATTTAAGCCACCATGGTTGTTACTTCACTCTAAAATTTTGTTTTTGTCTCCTCACCCCCTGACTCCATCCCCACATTTCTATAAACAATTCAAATTTCTGTGACCAGAAAATGAGATATGCATCTTAAAGATTCCCTTTTTTAGTGACCAGCCCTGGAGACTACTTAGCAAATGATAAGGCTGATCAGTGACAGGAACATA